GCTACAATGGCAACTGGTCATGTCACTGTTATAAACATGGATCCATTTTAAGAATGCAAATCATTAAAAACTTGCATACTGTAGCATGACCTGTTGGTATGGCTAGCTCACTGATCTAATAGATCAGCGGGCTAGCTTCACCACTAACAATATTATAATTATAAATACAAAAGCAAGAACTTATAAGCATTGAAGGTATTCATATAAGTAAAACTGTCCATGGCAAGAAAGTAGAATTAGAATATTTAGCTGACCTTTGACCTTGTGCAAGGTGTTTAGTATTCAAATTGCACTTTTCCTACTTCCTGGGCTGTTTACATGATGGAAGTTGGGATGATTTTTGATGTATTGAAATAAGTCACCAGGTTAATTAAACAAAAATTTAAATACTTGTTAACAGAACTTAAATATTGTAGAGAAGATCTTGTAGTTCAAGAAGATTATTATTGCTGCTTGAACATCTTTCGTTTACAGTTAACTATATAAATCCCGGCGTACTTAATCGATGAAATCGATGAGCATCGATATCAATCAATGCCAATCGATATTTATCAATCGATTGATATTGGAAATCGATGAATAATCGATATCATCTTTTGCTGTGACATTCATCGATTGATCATCGATTTATTATTAATTTCCATTGATGAAAAAATCATCCGTTAATATCCATGCAATCAAACAGGTAACGCCATAATTTAATTAATCCCTACTTTAATGTCGTAACAAACTCAAATGTGAACGGAATTCAGTAACAATGGATTAAATTAAGTTTTCATCTAGCTATAATGCAGATAAAATACATGTGTACATTCAAAAAATGAGAACAGATATACTATATAGCTCGAACACGCCGACACGCGGCTATTATTTAGGATATAAATCGATAAAAATCGAAAGCCTTTTGTCGATGAAAATCGATAAATATCGATGAAAATCGATGAACATCGATAATAATCGATAAAATTGGCTATAATTTTTTGTGACTATCGACTGGTTATCGGTTGATCAATGTGAATTGATACCAATTAAGTAATTAACATCGATTCAATGGATTGATGGATTGGATTTCCGATGATCGGTTTTTATCGATTAAGTACGCTGGGTATAAATCTATCTCTAGAAAATAATGAAGTTTTTTGCTGAATTGTGCACCGTTAGCTTATTTCAATACATCGAAATCATTGTGCCTTTCCCGCCTCATATCTCGTCCTGACAAAGCGGGATCATAAAAACAGCCCCTTATTCAGCAAATTGCGCATGCTGCTTTGATCCCTTGGGGCCGAGGCAGCACTTTCCTTGCGATAGTAACTTCTAGTAATTCATAACGCTTTCAACATTCAAAACGGCGCCCGATGAAAACATTTATATGTAATTAAAAGGTTGGTATAAATTTACACAAATAGTTTTGGCGCGCTCCCTTGCATAGTGCGGAAATTTATTAGTTACCAATCATATTCAATGTAGCAGTTTACAACGATGTTTCCTATATTGTCTCCTAAATGCACTAAATTTAAACGTTAATTAGTAAATCTTGCACAGTTCAATCGTCATTTGATTCATATTTCACGAAAGATGTATTCGGCAGTAACAACTATTGGCTTATATTAATATCTGTGTACGCCTATTATTGGAAAAAAGTGAGACGTATTTTCCAATTTAAACCTTTTATCAAGACATGATTTTTTTCTCATGACGAATTAGTCAATCAATTTGATAATTTCTAGACTGTAGTGAAGGACAAGAAAAGCAGGACGGATAATCACGTGCTCTGTCCATAACATAATCTAGGCCTGAATTGTGGATAAATTATAGGTTTTCAAACATCAGAGCATCGGTAGAATATTAGTACGGCATTGCGCAAGCTGGCTGAAGAGCACGGTATCAACTAATGCTGCCCATGTGTATCTACTATCACAGTTTTTTAATGAATCGTGCGCATGCATTATTATAATTGCAGGATTAGCGCAGCGATCGAAGGAATCCAAAGATTAATCTAGAATCATGAACACCCCAAAATTCAAATACAGTTTTTAACCTCTTGAGAAATAGGGTTCTTAATCGTATCTCTTATACAGGGTGTATTCAAAAACTGAACAGATTTGAAATTGCTCTCAATTTCGCAGAACAGCTATTAGTTTTTGCTTTAGTTTAATTAAATTAAGGCCTTTAAATATTCACGCACACTTACATTTTTTCCTTGAAAATCAGCTATTTGCATGCTAATGAATGCTTTTGTCTAATTTGCACATGTCAGCAATATAATTGCCCAAAGAAGCTATATACATAAAAAATTGGATACTGATAGCTATTTTGCGAAATTGAGAGCAAACTCATATCTGTTCAGTTTTTATACACCCTGTAGTGTCAACTTTTTCATTTATAACATATAAATGCAGTTAGTAATGGTTTAGAAGCCATTAATCAACTCCGTTTTGTAATGTAAACGCCCATGAAATACCCCGACATAGCCAAATATGCACCAAGTGCATGAATTATTTCATTTATCGTGTTATTTTTTTTCAGAACGGTCCTGATTAGACAAGCAACAATGGGTCAGAAGTATCATTGGTTATACTTTCTTGTTGCATCCATATGCCTGGCTAGTGCGCAACATCGAGAAATATACATCCCGAACTTTTGTTACAATGACAGCCATAAAGGTAGGAGACTGTAATGTAAATATAATTGTAAAGTTTATAATGGGGGGGGGGGGCGGTGCCTCGCATGTGCTTTTTCTGACCCGTTCACACTTTCCTTTTTGCCAATACCTATTTAATGTTATTTTTAATATCCCCAATAAAGTTATGAAGACGACGCTTTAGGATATTAAATATGTATGGACGAAGGGGGAAAGTTCATCAAACAACAGTCCATCATCACTTATTTCTTCTCGCTTTGATATGATATCCACACGAAACACAGTATGCAAGGCAAAAGTTCCATTTCGAAAAATGAAACAAACTACCATCCGCCTTCAAATGGTGTTGACGTTAGACAGAATGTCCCGGATTGCTTCAGGGCTCCAAAGCTAAAAAATTAGGAGCGCAAGAGCGTACATGTTGCATGCCATCAAAATCATGAAACCTTATGACACAGAATACTATATAGAGGTCCACCTCCATTATTTTTTTGAGTAAGCGCTATTCATCATGATTGGTCACTCAGCAAGTACAGTAAACAGAAGCAGTCACCCCTGGTTATGACGCAGTAGCGCTTATAACTTTTGGCACAACTGGCCTGAAACTTAAAATATCGATTCAATAAGTTTAATAGCAATATATTTATTCAAAAATAGCTGTTATATAAAAAAAGAAAACTTAAGATTCTCACACGAATAGGCAATGTTTTTATGAGCGACTGGTCATCGCTAGTTGCAAGCGACGGTAATATACAGCTGATTCAATTAAGGTTGTCCTTCCAAAACCTTAAACCTTAAAACCGTACGCGTGTGATGGGTTTTCACCTATTAGATGTTTTCTGTTGTGAGCTTTATATATGTCTTAGGTATTCTTGCCAGTGCCGCAGAGAACTTGGCGGGGGCCCGGAGAAATTTTTTTAGAGGCCCGTATTGCAAAAAAGTTTTCCGGAGCAACATTTTTTCAGGAAAAAATTCGTTCCGACAACTTTTTTTAGGTAAATTTTTTTCCGGGCAAGTACGTTGTAATTGCTTTCGTGGGACTTTTCCCCAATTTTCCATACTTTGCCCCCCAAAACAAATATATTTCGGTCAAAAAAAAATATTTCGCCCCAAAAAAATGACTGGGATCCAATATTAAATTTTTAGGGGGCCCCAGAACCTCGGGGCCCGGGGAATTTTGCCCCTCTGCCCCCTCTCGGCGGCCTTTATTCTTGAAAAATTAAATTTCAAAGTTTAGTAGTCAAAATAAGCTAGGGATAACCAATCATCCCTTGCTCGCTCAGGGTTTAAGGTTTAAGCTTTTGGAAGGACAACCTTATTTGAATTAGCTGTAAACAAAGTCAAGGTTTTATCTCAAGCGATTCACTGTTAGATTTCCTCTACTATTTCGTACAAATTTAGCTTTATTGTAGCTGTATTGAAAGTATAAAAACTCATGGAAACGGTGAATTACTATAATAAATTGAAAGTAATTATTAAACTATTATTGAAATTATCGACGTAGAATGTTATTTCGTTGTATTAAATTTCAATAGTATTAATAATGAGAATTTTGTTTGATATTTTTAACATATTTATGTTATTTATAAAATGTACTGTCGTTTTGAAGTTTTGCACACAATATAATGATTGCGAGTACAATGACTCCATTTCAGTTTGAGTATTGTATTTAAATTTAGTAGTAATGCCTGATAAATAATCAGTGGCAAGCACAGCGTCTCAAAAATAGCAAACTTACAACAAAATAACAGAATATAATGTAAATCAAAACACCAAAGCTTTACCTACCTCGATTTATATTTCTAAGTCCCTCGATTATGTAAATTTTCGGCGAACAATCAACATTTTCGTTGCATTTGCTCGATGAAAACGATGGGGAAAAAATGTACAAACGTACGATTGAAAATTTATAATTATGTGATCTGCCTTAGGTTTCTATTTGCATGCCATATATGCCATGCAACAGTAAACCTGTGTATTTAAATATGTGTTGTAAATAACACACACCAGTTCCACTAAAGCTACAAAGAAGTGCTTCATTTGTGATGAAGCTTGTTTAAAACTCCATCTGGCCAGGCTGGTAAATCCTTCGTGCGTGAGCTTACTCAAATGTTGCAAGCTTATGCTGATATGTCGTCACTTGGGAGTGTGCTTTTAAAGTTACAATGGTTATGCCGGCTCTCTTACTCCAGAAACCACATTCCAAATCCAAGGCATCTGAATCGTAGACTTAAGCAATGGATGGATGGGGATATCAATGGTCTGCTAGATGAGGGTCGTGCTATCCAAAAAACGCTTAGTCAGATAATCTAAACAGCGGCTCTCTGATGATATTGCGGGACTTTTCGCAAAGCTGATGATGCAGGGTCAATTAAGAGCAGAACTTCGGATAATATCTGAAGACAATGGAGGATGTCCGAATTTGGATAATTGTGTTGCCCCTGAGAATCCCAAGACCGTCAGACAAGTCCTCTTAGAGAAGCATCCACCTAATATACCACCTGTTCAATCGGCAATATTAAATGGGAATTGCAACATGGAACCACACGCAGATATTTTTGATGGGACTGATGCAGAGCTAACACAGGATGCGGCTATTAAAACAGAAGGAGCTGCGGGGCCATCTGGTCTTGATGAAATTACCTGGGAACAACACTTGACAGCTTTTAAATAATGTTCAGTTCAATCTCGTTCCCTGAGCTTGCGATCTTTGGGAAGGAACCGAAGGGTCTGGGATAATCCGTTTCAGGGAAGAATCTGGTTGGCCGTTGATATGGAATGGAATGTAGCAATAGATCGAAAATTAATTATTAATCGTGTAATTTTATAAAAACATGGCTGCTGTTTAAGAGTACGTTAATATTGTTTTTGGATTTCAGCGACGATTTCAATGCAATTTTAGCAGTGCTAAGGTAAATTATCTTCTGTAATTGTACGTGGAAAATATGAAGACACGTTGTATTTTTCACAATAGTAAAATAGGGCGTGAAACTTTATATAAATTTGTCATTCAAGTTGTAAAATACACCAAGCTATTTGCCTATTTAAACTATATGCTGTACAAGTTATATTTTGGAACTATCTTCCTCAATAAGCAACTTCCTCTTAATTGCTAAATAATGATCGCACATGCACTGGCAATTTTTATTATAATTTTTGGTAGTCTGCATACTTGTGCTATAATTCTATTACAATGGATACAAATTCATAATAAATATATTAGCAATATTTTAATATTGCTTCCATTGAACTGCATTCCAATATAATGTCCAAAGAAAAAAATGCACTGTAAGCTTCTTAGAAACAATAGCTTTGTAACAAATATGGCAGGGCCAGGCTCACATATTGATTTGTTTTAGTTGCCCAGATCAAATTTGGCTATTCTGAATAAAACTGCTGGTATCAGAGCACTCTTTGATAAACAACAGCGCATGGATTGCTCCCAAGAGACACAGACATACTGTATGCATGGTCTTTCAAGTAAAATCCTAGTGAATCAAGATATGATCTGGAAAAGTCTTGTTCTATCATTTTGTCCATGTTTGTGAAAACTTGTGCACAGTCAAGACAATATTTTTTTGGCATAATGAAGCAATTGTCCAATGGAATCATCTTATTGAATCAGTGAGATATAGTCTGTTGAAATATTAAGCAAACTTCAAAAGAATTGTGTACAGTGAAGCTGTCTCAACATAAAAAATTCACTTATACAGGGTGTATAAAAAAAAACTGAACAGATTTAAAATTGCTCTCAATTTCGCAAAACACCTATTTGTTTCTGGTTTTTTATATATATAGCTTCTTTGGGTACTTATAATGTAAAATAATAAAAAAAAATTCTCGAACTCAAATTTTGTGAACCAGGGGGGTGTGTCTTTTCCAACAAACTAAAAATGGCTCGCGCACATAATTTAAAAGCTAAAATCATATTTTGAGTGAACAGATGGAAAATTTGTCGGGATTTTAATTACTGTACAAAATTTCAGACAATTTGGTTTAGTTTAAGCCCCTTAACTATTCACGCAAAGTTACAATTTTTCCGAAAAATCAGCTATTTGCATGCTTAATTAATGCATTTGCTTAATTTGCATATGTCAGCAATATGCAAATTAGGTAAAGGCATTAATTAAGCATGCGAAAGGCTGACTTTTTAGAACAAAATGAATAGTTAAAGGGCTTAAACTAAACCAAATTGTCTGAAATTTTGTACGGTAATTAAAAACCCGACAAATTTTCAATCTATTAACTCAAAATATGATTACAACTTTTAAATTTTGTGCGCGAGCCATTTTTAGTTTGTTGGAAAAGACACACCCCCCTGGTTCACAAAATTTGAGTTCGAGAAATTTTTTTCATTATTTTACATTATAAGTACCCAAAGAAGCTATATATATATAAAACCAGATACAAATAGGTGTTTTGCGAAATTGAGAGCAATTTCAAATCTGTTCAGTTTTTTTTGATACACCCTGTATAGCAGCTTCCCACATTCAGATCAATGAAAAAAGTTAAGCTACATAGGTTTATAAGAACCGGTCTATATCTGTCATGCTTAAGTGGCTCTTGTGTTTTAGATATCGCATGGCATACTATAGTGATGATCCTTTCGAATGACAGCTGAATATACTATCCAAAAACAATACTTACCCAGTTTGAACACAATCTCTTAATCTCCTGTAGTGGTATGTCATCTTGCCTACATCTTTCATGTCCATTGCCTTGCAACCTTGCAACGTTAACTGGATACACGCACATTTACTGGCGTCCTAAAAAGATCACATTTCTTTCACATTCTTGCAAACTGCCAACACAGGATAAAAATATAACATCTCAATTTGGTTAGTTCCAAATAGTAATTACGATTATGTGATTATGATTTGCTTTTCTATAGCGCAGATTTACATATGCATATGTTCAAATGGGTTCAAGTATTACGCTTACCTAATTACATACTTAGCCTAGACTATTTTATCTTTACAACAATGGACCTTTCCCCTTATAACTAAAATTTTGATCTAGACAAAAATTTCATCACAGCTTGAAAGAGCATCACAAAATTAGTAATATTCCAAAGTTTCGTTGCAAAATGTTGTAAAATGCGGATAATATATAGCCCTGCGAAGTTTGCCGTTTTTCAGTCATTTTGTATTACGCATGGGAAATTGACAGCCCAATCGCATCAATTTCCCGTTTGCAATACAAAATGACTGAAAATTGCAAACTTCGCAAGGCTATATATACTATCCGCATTTTACAACATTTCGCAACGAAACTTTGGAATATTACTAATTTGGTGATGCTCTTTCGAGCTGTGATGAAATTTTTGTCTAGACTTGCCTAGATCAAAATTTTAGTTATAAGGGGAAAGGTCCATTGTGATATTAATTTCTTAACAGTGTTTATCCTAACCCACCCTGTCAACTTTCCCTGTGGGAGGAAACTGGAGCACACGGAGAAAACCCACGACTTTCGGCAAAGCGTTGACGTCGAACCCACGAACTAGCTCAGAGGTGAAATGCGCTTGCTTTGACTATACTACGCCAAATTACAAGTTGTAAATAGTGCACTTATACACAAATATATGCGACAAACCGACGAACGGAATTTGCAGCAGCCAGTGTTAAAACTTCATGATTTCCAGTGTTATTCTGTCATTTCATGTGGCGGCCTATTCTGGATTTGCAGATCTGACCAGCATCATACGTCACGGCGTGCGGATTGTTGGGCTACCTATGATCTGACTGAAGATGTCGCGTGTGCGTTCACAATCAGTAGGTTTGCTGAACACTTTTCCCCTTCGAGATATCGATTCTACCTGTCTTGAAGTGGCAGATTGCTACGTAGCACCACGGTATCACAAAAATCTTCTTATATTGTAAAAAAAATTTTCATATTAATAAGAAATAATGCTGTACAAGCCATATCCAACCCTGTTCCGGGCATGAATGTTCTATAAAAGTGCAGTCATGGAATTGGGGGTTACTTATGACGTCACCAATACTCGGTTGTTTTCACCCTTGGCAACATGCTAGTCTCTAACTCAATCAATGTATGCTTATCTTTGGTTTGTCTTCAGCGTATCCTTATAGCAAAGCAAGGCAACTTAGGTTTCTGAGACCAGAGTTTAGCGGTTCATGGGAAAGAGGTTTGGTCAGTCGAGTGTCCTCCATATGCACTACAGTACATAGCAGGGCAACGCATTCAAATTTCAGAACGAGACTCTTATAGCCCTTACCTGCAGTCCTGCGATTCCGGTGCAGAATCCAGTTGTCAAACTCTAACGGCGCTTATTCTTGTATTTCGAAGACATTTTGTAGTGTTTTTGACTTGAATCCTATTTCTTTCATGAATTATTTTCAAACTTGTTTTTTGAGAGTCGTTTAATATTAATTCGCAATGTATTGGACATACTTACAGCCTAAACCTGTTTGATCAGGCTTAAATATTCACCAATGGCCAAAACATTGGATCTGCGTATAAGGTTTCAAGAAATGATAAAATATATAAACGAGTGTTCCAATAAGTCGGTGTCTTCGGTGAACGGAACCGAAGTCAAATTTCACCAACAAGATAAATTATACCAAATCAACAAGACAATTGTGCCGGTTACAGCTAATCAGTAATATAAAATCAAAAGTAGCATAAAACGTAGCATTGTTTCATGCACTTTTCAATATCATACATCACTAATCAAACACAATTTTGCGCTTTCCTTAATGCTACAGGATAAAACGCAAAAATTGTTTGCAATAGACACTTCCCGAATTTGCTTGAGTGCACACGAAACAATAGCTTGAAATCGAGGCGGACAATGTAATCCATTGGAAATAAGTATAGTTCCCCAATGGATTACATTGTCCGCCTCGATTCCAAGCTATTGTTTCGTGTGCACTCAAGCAAATTCGGGAAGTGTCTATTAAGTCAAAGAATAAAACTTCGTTCTCTGGCTTCGATCTATAGCGTGAAATGAACGCGATAAGGCAAGAAGTTTGCATACACAGCCCAACATCATAGCTAATTTAAAGTGTGCTAAAAAGTAGGAAGTGCACTAACAGAAGTTTCCCAGTGAAATATCAACTAGGTTCCAGTTCAGACACTTCGCGGTCAAATCCAACATGGCGGCCAATGTGAAATTTTCAGGATTTAGCCCGTAGTATTTTGGTGTTTTGGCGCCATTTTGGCGTAAAACTGGCAACATGTGGCAAATGCAGAGTAACTTGATTCCATATAAACAGACTGCTTGTGTGTGCATTGCTGTGACAATCATACCGTCATTTATAGATAATTTCATTTACTTACCGAACAATTATCTTTACAATCACAACAAACCATGAATCCAGGATCATTTGTTCGTTGAACTTCTGGTGCAAACTGCCTCGTGTACATATACTGAATGTTAGGTGGCCTGGTTCCATCCACTTCGTTCACAGCCTGAAAGAGATTGATGTAAGTGACAAAGTTCATGTATTCTTGCATCTCATTGGACGAGAAAGTATCACGTGATAGTCATGAAATTCGACTCTCTCAGTTCTGAGCGGTGAAAAATACATTTATTCACCAGCGATTATATAGAGGATATTAGAAGGTTGCGAAGAGATATGGATTGATGTTCGAGTGGCAAAAACAATATCTCACGAGTGAGTGCAGCGAACGAGTGAGATATTAGTGAGTTTAAGATACCCAGGTTTCGGTGTACGGGTACGAGTAGTGTCATCGTTTTTTTGCTAGTTTTTACTGATGTCTGTAATTCGATCATACTTTTTCTGTTTTCTTGCAATAGACAATGATATAATGCGAAAAATGTACACCTTAATCACGAATAAAAATGCAGACATCGACGAAAATATTGCTAACCAAAATCATGCTACCCGCACGCGTAAACCGAAACCGGGGTATCTTAAACTCACTATTGTTTTTGACACGAGAACATAAATCCATATCTTCTCGCAACCATTTAATGTTCTGTTTATTATATGGACTTATTCACAGTGACAAAAATACACACAAAGACGACATGTAAATAAGCACGCGAAAGACCAGTATAAAAGCGATATTTTTTAAAATTATAGTAAACAAACATAAAACTATAGAATAAATTTTACTTATCTCAAGATGTCTTTTAAATGTTTTCGTTTTATTTCCAACGTTAATTTCGTTTTGAATACGAACCAAAGACCATTCGTATTTTCAAAACAACAGCAATGAAAATGGCGGGAAATTTTCGAACTTCGTATGTCACTAACAGGGGTTAAATACGGAAAATATGCGCACCTGGCCCCGGATGTAGTGACGTATGAGTTCTATGAGTGTTTTAGTTTCCAGTAAAACACCATTGTCCATATAATAAATAGAGGATATTACACGGCGGCGCGAAGATATGACATTTATCTTCGAGTGGTGAAAACAATATTTTACGAACGAGAAGATAAAAGTCATATCTTCAAGCCACCGTGTAATGTTCTGTCTATTATATAGTCCCAAGCAAAAAATTGTGAAATTTCACGATCAAAAGCAAATTGTCAAATTATCACGTGATCGATATCTTCACTAGTGAAGAGAATCTTCAGTTGTAAAGATATGGAGAATATCTCACTGTGTATTTTTCAGTATCTCACTCTCTACTATATAATAAAAATCGTTCAGTTGTGGAGCAAAAAACAAAACATACTGTTTCCCGAAAGTACTAGTCAATAAGTGTTGCTTGTTCCAATTAAAAGCATCATGTCAGGCACTAGGGTCAACTATCCACACCCTTCCACGCAATAAATTCTGAAAGCCTTTACACGATAGCTGATTAACAGTGCAACGCAGTTGTAACATTGATTCTACATCCAAAAAAGCTTGGATATAGGCTATCAATGAAACAAACGAGATATCTTACTGGCAATGGCCGATTCTCTTGTTCATTTGAAATATCTTTAACGACGGCAACCTAAAGACAGAAAAAATTCTTGTCACCTTGAACTTTTGAATACGTTATCTACTTTTGAAATGTCTTTGTATAATCAAATAGTCTATATACAAAGCTTAATCAGAGTGAACTGCAGAATTGCATGCGTATAAGCAGCTGTTTTAGCCTGTTTACTACACTTTGGCCCGCCATACTGCCAAAGAGTATAGGCTCCTCGTCGGCGCCTTTGATATCGGCGCAACTACCCGCCATGTTCCCAGCCAACGCTTGTACTGTGTAAATCAACATACATAGAACTCAAGTTGTAAGCAAGTTGCATGCGACATGATCAGTTTTAGGAAAGGTCGGCATCTTTACCCGTATGGATAGTCACGTGCAACAAGTGTGAGGTCCGCAGTCTACCAAACATGCAGTGAATTGAAGTGTTCACCTGACCAGCCCGCTTGAGCCTAACGTACCGAACTAATTAGCGGAAAGCTATTTCGGATGCTTGTTTCAAGGGTGGAATTTTCCAACTTGTATTTGAAGTAAACTGGCGACCTAAATTCACCAGAGAAAGTTGCACTTGATATAAAGGCTTGGCAGCTGTTATGCTTCACGCATTTCTGAAAGGCATCACACGCGTTGTTTAACCTCATTTAATCGAACTGCCTGCATTTAGCTACTATTATAGGTGGCAAAAAGTGTCTCTAAAGAGAGTTTGATGGCAATTTTATGTTAGAAGCTGGTAACAGGCATTTTCTTATAGTTCAAGCCTTGGTGAATAAGACTGTGTGTGTTACCACTTCTGATTTTTGCTTTATAGCCAAAAATTTGAGAATTTGAGAATTTTGCCTATTAATAAATTACTATGATGGCAAAAAATGTAAAATTTCATGTTCTCTTATACGAAAAATAAACTATACCACTAGAAAGATCGCAAAAAACTATATATAAGACAATTAAGCGACTAGTGCGATTTTCAAGCCGATTTCGAATTAAAGATGGTTAAAGTTGGCAAAATGGGTACTAATTAGCATTAATTCGCGGGTCATTTCTGCATTTTTTAGCATTAAAAACTCGAAATAGGATTGGAAAATTGTAGAACTCACTTAATTGTCTTATATATAGTTTTTTACGCTCTTTCTAGTGGTATAGTTTATTTTTCGTATAAGAGAACTTGAAATTTTACATTTTTTCCGATCATAGTAATTTAATAGGCAAAATTTAAAAATTCTCAAATTTTTGGCTATAGAGCAAAAATCAGAAGTGGTAACACATATAGTCTTGTTCACCAAGGCTGGAACTATAAGAAAATGCCTGTTACCAGCTTCTAACATAAAGTTGCCATCCAGTTGTACAAAATGATGACTTGGCCAGCCGTCTATAATGTGGATAAATGATGTTTTACAATAGAAATTTACTTACCGGTGGTACAACATTATCACTCCGTACCCTCCAATCAAATGTAAAATTATCCACGTTCAAACTGCTCTCACCAGTCAACTGGAGATATCTAATGACTTCGCTCATATTTCTGATCCTACGATTACACGGCGTACGGTAATACACGTCGCGTTTGTTAGTCTTGCCGCGTCTTTTCACAATTTCACGCTTCCAATCCATTAATATTGGCACGGCTAGTGGATTGTGCCTGAGCGGGTCAATGGAGATCTTGCTGCTGCTTCGACTGCAGGCAAAACTACAGGTATGCGGAACTGCAACTGAATTATAATAAAGTCCAAATAAGGGGCTGTCGCCGTGTAGTTACTGTACATTTATAGTAAAAACTACTTTGCGTCTATACGGACAACTGGGCTGACTTGGTTCCCGATATCTCGTTTTCCCTGTGAGCTATTTTTATCAACTGTCAAAACAATATAAAACAATTATTGAATGAGGTCGAGTAGGATATAAGGAACTAGTAAGGCCGAGGTTTGTGTTATCTAGCAGATAACACAAACCGATGCCTTAATAATTCCTCATATCTAGGCCTGCGAGAACCGAATTCAATAATTGCTTTATTACTTATTTGTTGGACTACACAAAAAAGGTCGGCGAACCTTTCCTTTGACGAAGCCATTTGTATTTTCCTGCTTTTGGTATAAGCCGCATAAATTAGCTTGACGTCATAGCGTGTTACACTGTTTTTCAATATGCCACGAAATTACGTCAAACGTGGTATATTTGTTTTCAATATTCCACGGTGATGTCATAACTCCAAAGTTGGGCAGTTACACCAAGTGAATATGACAATTTCACCGACGGCTCTTAGAAATGAAATAAAGATCACTGCATTCGGAAAGGACTAACTTAGATTTTGAAATGTAACACTGCAATATTGAGTGACACACAGCCAAAATAAAAATATTTATTATTTAATAAGTACAACTACATCGGTAATTATAAGGTTTGTTTTACGCTGACTTTTGGCATTTTCAAAAACAGTCGTTCATGATTGCGCTATATACAGCTATTTCAATTAAGGATGTCCACGAGCAAAGCGGAAAAGTTGAATACGAGCGCGAAAGGCTGCTGGGAATCGCTTTGAAAATTCATTAATTTGTTAACGATTCCCAGCAGCCTTTCGCGCTCGCATTCGACTTTTCCGCTTTGCTCGTGGACAACCTTAATTGAAAGAGCTGTATATAATAGCTTTTATGTAGCTTTTACGTTACATGAAATCGAACAGTGTCCAGTTTTTTGGGGGACACTCGGTATACCATCTACTGGCATCGCCCATGCATACATGGATTTTACTTATCATTGTTTAATTCATGATTGAGTCGGTTTTCTTTGATTTACCGAGGTGATTATTTTTAATAGATGAATGCCTTATCAATCTTAAAGACTTATACTGCTTCACATGACAACACATCTTATAATGAATATAATCCATGTAAGGTAAGAACAATTTTGATATTTTCCCCTATGATAAACACCTCGAAAGTCAGGATTTATGTCAGATAATGCCCTCGGACGCTGTACGTCCTCGGGTCATTGTCTGACATAAATCTCTCCTTCAAACACTCATTAATAATTCATAAGCTTATTGGTAAATCGTGTCAACCATAATATGACACGTGCAGTAGCTTTAAACCTGATAAAACACTCCTAATTAGTATTCTTTATATAAAGAATACTAATAAGGCAGTATCTATTGTAGTCGTGTCCTCATTAGTAATTCTTTATATAAAGAATACTAATAAGGCAGTATATCTATCGAATTTGTAGTCGTGTTTGAAGCCGTTTAATAAACTCGCAGGTCGTGTTTTATTAGGTCGTGGCTTTAAACCTAATAAAACACTCCTGCTCGTTTATTACACAGTACTTCTCGGTGTTTATCCTTTAGTTAATAATTGAATTCATAAACTATTTCATACCTGAGTGGGATTTGTACAATGTCTCGCGTTTCGGTGAGGAGATTTCATTTGTCACTCTTGCATCCTGTACATGTAAGCTTTTTGCGTCGAGTTTATGTTTCAAAATGCTAGCTGCATCGTGATATCTGTGTGTTGGAACCGCTGTATGGGGTCTTATAACATTATTTGACGAACCTTGGCGCTGCTTATTCCGCTGAATATTCAACCATGGCGCTTTCCATTGATTATCTGGTGTAGGTTTAGGTTTCTTTTCCTCCACAAATGCCCGACTTTTTAAGGTTTCTGAAAATGGTAAAGAGCTCGAGGAAGATTGGGGAGGATGGAATATTGATTGGTATGGCTGATTGTTCTTGATACCAACTGCTTTAAAGATCACGTTGTTCACTGAAGCATAACAAAAGTACAGCAAAAAGTTAATTCAAAGAACTGAATGGATACTAGTTAAATATGAATCTCAAAACGCATTAATAATTCATGAGTAAATTAGCCAACCAGACTGCCTTATTTTGCTCACATGATAATACTGGATACCTGATCAAGTATATTGATCCTGTCCTTGGACTGGATCAAAATGAATTAAGTAGTGATTTATTCGTATGAGATGTCAATGTCATTTCAAATCCTCCAATAGACCTTTCCCGTTTTAAGTGAAATTTTGATCTAGACAAGCCTGGACAAAAATTTCATCACAACTTGAAAGAGCATCACAAAATTAGTAATATTCCGAAGTTTCGTTGCAAAATGTAAGGTTGTAAAATGCCGATAATATAGCCTTGCTAAGTTTGCCGTTTTTCAGTCATTTGCATTACAAACGGGAAATTGATAATCAGATGATCAAACTGACTATCAATTTCCCATTTGTAATCAAAATGACTGAAAAACGGCAAACTTCGCAAGGTTATATTATCCGCATTTTACAACATTTCGCAACGAAACTTCGAAATATTACTAATTTTGTGATGCTCTTTCAAGCTGTGATGAAATTTTTGTCCAGTCTTGTCTAGATCAAAATTCCACTTAAAAGGGGAAAGGTCTATTCGGACTGGACAAGATTTCAAGTCCTCGCATTTTGATGCAAATTGCGCGGACTGAAATCTTGTCCAGTTCTCATAGTCGGATTTGAAATATTACGTCAAACTCGCGTATATCTCGAACTTCACATATTCTATACTCCAAAAATTCCTAAAGTATTTTGAGTAAAACAATGCATGCGCCTAGAGGTTGAAAATCGGAACCTGAAATTTTTTTGGATTTACATTTTTGCCGAAATTTGAACAGACATATTTTGATGTTTGATAGATACTTTTGAAAATTACACTAATTGAATATATCAAGATTATTGAAATCATTGAATACTTAATTATTTCCTCACCCAATACATATTTTACAGCGGAACAGTTTAGAACAAAAATATTCATATAGCCTGCATGCAGTAGTAATTTGTTTTTAATCTTGTATGACTGTAACTGCTATGACTACTTCAGGATTGATCTTGTATGCCAATTATCAGTCTTAAAGACTTACTGCTTCACACGACAATAAACAATTATTGATTGGATGAGGCTGAGCATGATATCAAGAATTATTCAGACCGAGGTCAATGTTATCTGCCGAAGCGAAGCTGAGGCGGATAACATTGACCGAGGTCTGAATAATTCTTGATATCATGCTCAGCCTCATCCAATAAAGCTAATTCTTGATATCATACATCCAAGCACGTTTTTGAGTGAAAGATACCCATGCAGGGTATTTGAAGTGCTATTTCAATCATTTTTACTCGGTTAACAGGAACTCCCTTTACTTCCCATGAACGAAATCTAGCCGCTTATCTTGAACTCAAATTATTTTTAGCAGCCATACCCAAACTAGCTCCAGTCTTTTTCCTCAAAGTGCTCGCTTGGATACAGGAATAAGTACTTTCGATCACACGCTTGTCATCAAGTATTACAACCTCTAGAAATAAAAAAATGAAATGTATACATTATAATGACAGAAATCAACTAAATACCTTATTATAGGAAATTAACGATGCACTTTATTAACGCGACATAAATTAACGCGACATCAAATTAACGCGGATTGCTTATAGGTATTTTAAAACATGATTATATTAACGCGAATCTGATCTCCATGGTTGACAAATTAATTAAATTAACGCGAATCGGAAAATATAGACACAACAACAACAAAGGTGTTAAGAGGAGCACTGATGTTTTTAGTTTACGTTAATATGCTGCATTTTAATATTAAAAGAGTTAGTGTTATATAAAACAAATCTAGGTATTTTTAACTAACGATAAATGAAAATTACATACTTAAAATTAACGATCACATAAATTAACATTAATTAAATTAACGCGAATTTTTAAAATACGCGTTAATAAAGTACATCGTTAATTTCCTATAATAAGGTAATGGCTGCATTCTATTTTAAGAGTATCAGGGCGCGAAATACCGGCTGGGGTCGCTGGTCAAGGTGACTGGCCAACTCAATTTTAGCTCGGACATACCGAATTTCTGGCCGGTCAAATTATTCAGCTTAAAGCAAAGCCTAGTAAAGTATACCCCTAAAAATGTGACGAAAAGCCTTACTGTAATCAGTAATTAAATAAAAACTCCTTCACATAAAACCGCTTGCACTGCGCTAAGCCAAAAGCATGGCCTCAACTCTTAAGCCAAAAGCATGGCCATGGGCTTTGTGAGGTACTGCGTGGGAAAGCTGGAGTACATTGAAGTTCTTTCCCGCAAAACATTCGACAACATGTTATGGTTCTTAATTATAATACCTTGACAATTTTATCTTGATTAATTCATATGAAAATTAGTTTGTTCTTTTACCGAAAGTGACGGGTTAAAATGACCGGCAAGGTAAGAATTTGATCGGACAATATCGCATTCTGGCAGGACATTGTCCGTTGACCGGCCGTTATTTCGCGCACTGAGTATATCGAAAAGGAATACATTTAGCTTTGTGTATGTTTTAATGTGTAATTGTTGAGGAAATTACTATAACGTTTAGAAAGGTTTAATTAAACATTTCCATATATGCAAGAAAAACGCTTAACTAGAAAACATCAAGATTTTGTTGGCATTTCACTCGATTGAATAATACTTTGGTACCCTTCTGCATCGTTTCCAAGGAACTCAGTTATACATACTTCCTGAAATAAATACCTTTACTTCCCATTTCAGTTGACGACAATGGTTTTCTGTCTTCTATGGATGGAGGCCGTGGTTTAACCTCTTCCGCTTTTACAGGTTTTTCTTCCGGCTTCGGCACAGGCTTCTCTTCGTGTTTAGGCGATGGTAATCTCGAGTCTTGTATTGAAAATTTCAAACCCTAGGAAGACAAAGACAGTGTATAGAAAGAAAGAAAGAAAGATTTATTATGCACATGATATTAGTATTTACAAGATATTTGTTGAAATTATAGAACTTAGGAATTATTACATGATGATGTATTATAAACTTAGATTGGATGTGCGCAGTAGCCAAAGTAGTGTGAGCTTTCGAGTTGGCTACTGCATGTTAATAATTTTACATGGAATATAATGGAAAGTAGAAGATCGTTATGGCAAAGTAAACATATTAATATTTAGCTTCTAATTCATAATTTGACAAGTAGGTTAAGACTATATCAGGCAGGATAGGAGGAACTGTCTGTACTGTGTTTTAAAGGCTTCAATATTTAAATGTTTTAAATAAGGTGGAATACAATTCCACAGCTTCGAGATAATAAATTTGATGGTGGATTGACCATAATTAGTTCTTACTTTTGGCCGATAGAAATTGCCACTGGCAGACAGTCTAGTATTATAGCTGTGAATATCAGATATTGGTATAAGGTAATCATGAAATATGTATGGAAATTCGATGAATCACTTGACAGTTTTTTTGCAAATGTAGCAATTTTAAATTTCACAATATTGTCAAAATTGAGTATTCCAAGAAGTTTATAGTAAGTAGTTGCTGACTCCATAGGATTTGCGAAGAAAATACTACGTATACATTTATTTTGTTTAGTACGAATCTTGGTTAAATTGGTTGTATACGCGCTACCCCAGCTCATAACACTATAAGTTAAATAAGGGTAAATATAAGGTTATAGTAAAGTTGCTTTAATATGAAAATGTTAGATAAATGATGCAATTTATAAAAAATGCCAATATTTTTGGCTAATTTATTATTAACATGAGCAATTTAGCTTTTCCAATTGAGATGTTCATCGAGATATATACCAAGATACTTAATACAGTTTTTGCGTTCGATATTAGGAATGTTGATATTAATGTGCTTTTTGTTACTTGAAGTTATCACCATAAAATTGGTGTTGTTCGTATTAATAGATAATTTATTGAGAGCGCACAGTAGTCATAGATTTTTTTTAGCTCACGATTTATTACTATTTCAAGTTCAGTGGGGTCTTTATTTACATAAAATATGTTAGTATCATCAGCAAATAGACGAAAAGAAAGTACTGATGAACAATTAACTATATCATTAATATAAATTAAAAATAATAAAGGCCCCAATGTAGATCCTTGAGGAACTCCACATGTCATCGTTAAAGTGCTAGATTGTACGTTCTCTATTTGTACAAATTGAAGTCTATTTGTTAAGTAGCTGTTAAACCATTCAAGTGAATGACCACGTATTCCATATTTAAATAATTTAGCTAATAATATTTCATGGTTGACCGTATCGAAAGCTTTAGAAAAGTCAATGAAAACCCCGCATGTAATAAGATTATTATCAATGGAAGTTTTCAGGTTCTCAGTTATTTCTAAAATAGCTTGTTCCGTTGAGTGTCCTTTTCTAAAGCCGAACTGATACTTGTTGAGTATGCTATATTTCTCTAAAAAAGTCATATGCTGGTCATATACAATTCGCTCAAGCGTTTTCCTAAAGGGTGATAGCAAAGCTATTGGCCTATAATTATTTGGGTCTGTCTTTATCCCACTCTTATAGGTATTGGGTCTGTCTCTAGATATTTTGAAAGCATTGGGAAAAATTCCAGTAGAAATAGATTGGTTAAAAATATGAGCAAAAGGCACTGATAGAGCACTACTAGCCAGCTTTATCATTTTGTTAGGAATATCTGGAGAAGACTTATTCACATTTAGTACCGAGAAAAGTCGACAAACGTATTCCTCAGAGACAGGTGACATGCAAAAACTTGAAATTGGTGAGTTAGTTACGTATTTGGTGGGATCATCATTAGAATTTGGGATTGAATTATCCAATTTGGGACCCACATTTACAAAATGCTGATTAAATTGCTCAGCAATGTCGAACTGATTAATATATGTTTTTTCATTTCTAACAATTCTAGTTGGACAAGTATGACCCTTATTTTTCCTATTAATCAATGTGCCTATCAATTTCCAAGTGCTTTTTAAATTGTTTTTACATTGATGGAACTGCTGATTATAATATTCATTTTTAGTTTTTAATTTATTCAATACATTGGAATAGGATTTATATATAGAAACTCTCAACGGATCTCTACTTAAAAAGTGTGAGCGGTAAAGCTTTTGTTTTACTTTAATGGATTTAATGAGACCTTTTGAAAGCCAAGGTTTTGATAATTGTTTCATCCTATTACGCATCCTATAATACTAGAAAAAATAGTGAAATTCATACTATGGAATTTGCAATCGCATCCCTAAGTCCATAGTATACCCATACTATATCCATAGTGTAGAAATTGCAATTAGTATGAATATTGCTATTTCCATAGTAAGGATTTTCAAAACAAATTCCAGTGTAACCTTACAGTGATAGGAGACCTTTCACTTCCAGGAGACCTTTCACTTCCTTAGAACATAATGTACTAGTTGACCATGGTTTAAATTCAAGGAAATATGTCTGTCGACCATAAGTTGTTGGAAAGTTGCAGAACTTCTGCTGGTATTTTTCAGTTGTTGGGCCCATAGTAGAACATGCATGCGTGGTAGGGTTTCTATCGAATTTTCAAGTTGCAAATCTTTAACCTAACAAATTTCCTGCAGCTGTTTAACATTTCCAGCGAGCGGTGCTCGTGTGCTTCAATATTTTTTCCATCCCTCCCCGAACCATGACTTTTGTGTCCTCTAAATCAAGAACTACAGTCTACACTGGCTCAAAATGCTAGCGTTATCTATAGGATAGACAATGATCAAGTGTGTTCAGTTGGATATAAACTCCCTCGAATTAGTTACATGGCCACAAGGGCCGATCACATCCACGAAGAATCTTCTTCGCAGCGAGTTTATCGAACTGATTAGTATGCTCCATATCTGATTATAGTATGCTATTTATTGAGAGTACTAATTCATAAGGCTTGGTTTATCCTTTGTTGAATACTTCATTAGTATGCTCTATATAGGGAGTACTAATGAATCACATAAACTCGCTGTAATTGCTGTGAAGCTCGCTATCGGACGGTTTATGGGATATATAGACAGCTGAAATACTGAGTTCTGATTGGCTGTGATCATGTTCTATAAGTACTTGTTAGAATATGAACAGCTGATCTTTATGGGCATTTATAATGGCGGTTGATATGAGAAGTTGATATGAGACAAATGGTTGGCAGTGAGAAGGCGATTATTTTAACGAACTTGTAAAATGAATCTATTTGTTTACTTTATTAGTATTCACTACCCATGGGGACAATCTCACGCCTCATTAGCATGCATTTACAGCGTAAATCTTGTGATGCGTGCCTTTTGATTCTAATACATCGTCCTGCTTCTGAATTAATATATTCACAACATTCATATAAACATCACTCTGACACTTCCTGATCTTTACTGCGATTTATATACAGAGTCGTGATTTGTTTGTAGCCTTATTAATTATTCATGAATTTTACAAGTAATAGATAAAGCATGAGCAGCCGTGTTGTATACAAACTCGAGCCGAAGGCGATAGGTTGTATGTCTGATACAACATAGACGCGAATGCTTTATATGGCTTGTGAAACGGATCGGTGAGAACATTCGTATTCTTCATCAATTTAAACTAAATGAATGATATCTGGTGGGAAAATTAAACGTAAAGTTTATGTAAATCAGCATGATTCTGTATTTGATATACATTTCTTTTGTGTTTTCTTCATAAATTATTAAGTTTCACAAATACAATTAGAAATGCACATATAAGCAGAAATTTCAGCTTGTGGTAACAGTTTATCCCAACACCTGTTGCAAAGATATAAAATTTAAGCGAAATCCATACGCCACGTGGATCTTAATACAAACCTCATGTTGTTTTTGTGTCAGCTGCCGTTGTTCTTCTAATTGCGATTGTTGGATTCCTAAAAGAGTAGAATTGATATAGACCTTTCCCCATAGGTGGTCTACAAGTTACGTCACCGTCACCATGTTGGGTGACATTGACAAAGGTTTTGCTATGTTTGCAATGCAAATATCATCAATTCAAACATGGTGAAAATTTCTCTGTCCTTGGAATCCCATGGGAGTGGTTGCACATCACCGATTGCAAGCTATTGTATCCAACTACATTACATCAATGCATATGAGCGGGCTATTTCTAAAATAAACACTCCAGTGACTCCCCACAAAGAGAAAGTCCCCCCCCCCCAATATATCAACATACGTTCTAACAAATAAGTCCCCAATAATCACACCTAACACTATAATTAGACCTATGGAAATTTGTTTAATGTTGCGTGAAGAATGCTTTTCAAAACATTATTTGGGGTTTTGCGAAGATTGTAATTTTGCTATTCCACGCCTAGCAATTCAGTTTATGTTTAAGATGATAATTGTATGTTTATATCTCCACAATTTAAAAAAATCGAAGTTGAGTATTTACCAATCCTCTGTATCACATATTGATCAACTCCTAAATTTGTACAATAAAACCAGCGTACAGCACATACCTTTAGGATCCGTTTTGCTATATGGTGAAACGCCGTAACAAGGTTTTGTAATGTTGTACTCAATATAAGGTGCATTATCTTTCGACGAAGTGTTTCTAGTCAATTTTCTTGATCTTGCTTTTGTCGATCGGGTCCTTTCACCCATTACCTAAACAAAAAAACATGATCTAGTAACCTGACTGCAACATAAGTGCCTAACCCAACAGCAGCAGCAACAACACAACGATAACAGCAACAACAACAGCAACAACAACAACAACAACAACAACAACAACAACAACAACAACAACAACAACACTCCTACAACTTTATTACTCTTTCCTGCATAATGTTGCTCTGCAGCAACAATCTTTTGTTGGTTGATATCAGCTGTTGATAATTACATTTTTCGATGGGCTCCCTGTGGTTTCAAACAGGCAGGTACATACATCACTTGTGCATGCAACCTCGTCTAAGAAGCCGGTATATTTCTCGATATAATTTCGTTGCTTACCAATGCCGTATATAATGGATCAAGTCTAGTCGAGCCACGATAAACCCATTCTGAACGGTTATCGACTTGAAACAACATCTAAAACAAAAACAGTCAAGTTAGTATATTAGCAGGCATTGTTTGCTGAATAGGAAAAGAGTTTAGCAAAAAACTAAATGATATTTTTAAAAACGGAACTATCCAATCATATAGGCTAATATATAGGATTCTTAGCTGACATAAAAAATCCATAAAAGATACCATATTCGAAACAAGTCAACATAAGCTTAGTATGTACTGCCTGTATACGCTAGTCCGCAATGTTATGGTTTTTACCCAGCTTTATTACGGGTAACAAGACAAAATGCAAACTGCTTAATACACAGCTCAGTACTAAGCCTATTACTAAATAATGTGTAACTTGCGTCGATATATGAGCTGTACATGACATGTTGTAGCCTGCTCGCCTGAACGAAATTTCGGGCTGTGAGCAGGCTAGACATGTTGCTATCGTGAATTTTATGATTCAAATTTTTGACTAGGGTATTTCATTTCGCGCGTGTCAATTTCACGAGGATTTGCATTCGCGCGACTTTAATTTTGAGAAATTAAGTACGTATATGGTATCTGAACATATTAGAGCGCTTTCCATTTATTGGCATGTCCGATCAAACCCCAATTTTTTTACTCTACATCAATGGAAAGATCTGGTCTATGTTCTCAAATATCTAGCGAGAACGGACCTCATTCTAATTTTATCTACATTTTTTTCTGGTCAGACAGATCCGAAGCCCAAACGTTTTGTGTTTCATTCAACAATTTGACCGTTCTGACCGGTCTGGCCGTGTTAATGGAAAGCGCCCTTAGACTCGCTTATTCCCAATGTAAAAAGTATAAGATGACAGTTATGACAAAACTTTGAAACAAACCTTCACAAGACTGCCATCCACACTCATCACTCTGGCTCTCAACCTGAATACAGAAGACGATGTAAGGGATGGACAAGGCTATAGGCTAGCGGGAATTACATACTTAACTCCACATTTGTAATGGTGCAGATTGCATTTTGGGAGAAAAATAAACTAGCTACGTTTGCACGACCTTTCTTAAATACCGTAAATGACCTATAATAATTAACGCTCTGTATAACTAATAGACGCCTAGGATCAAGGCCAAATTAGGCCTCGAAATTCAGGGCAGCAAATGCTGACCTGCATGAATGCCAACCTATATCATCAAGAAGAGACGTGCTACGAGATGGATCTAAGCGTCAAGGCTGGTGAAGTATCCTACAAAGAGAGACTTCAGCAACTGGATATACTCCCTCTTTCGTACGATCGTGAGGTCAAGGACTTAATATTCTAATAAGGCAGTGAACGGATGCATCGACATTGATGTCTCAAATTTTGTTCACTTTGTCAATCATGAACGGACACGTAGAGCATTGAATTCCAAATACTTAGAAACTCCATTGTGTAAAACTTGTGTTAAATTATGGAACAGTGTTTGTCTCTTAATTTATCCTTCCAGTTTCACATCGCCATCGTCTTTCAAAACGTACCTCAAGATGAGGTATAAGCATATTCTGGAAACAGTATTCGATCCGGACATGACTTGCACCTGGTCACTTAAACGTGATTGTGGTTGTCACAAACAATAAACTAACATAACTAATCAAATTAATGTGCATGCATAATACAAATATTTAATAAGTAAATATGTTATACTGCAGTATACTGTGACTTTAATTAAAATGTCTATGTTAGAAAGAGGAGGGGCACCATGCAACGGACTTTACGTCCAGTTTGTGCCTTGTCCGTTTGAGTACAGCACTTTTTTTAATTGCATGTTAAGATGGATATTTGTATATATTTTTGGAATTAATTTGTACTCAATAAAGTTCAACAAACATTGCCGACCTGCAAGCTCTATATATCTGTACTTCAGTCATTCCGATTTCCGACTATGACAAAATAAAAAGTGAAGCCAAGACGGCTGCAATTGATGTCCAATAGCTATGAAGGTCGTGTTAAACAGTTTTAATACCATTTTTTCCTAGCTAATTCTAGTTTATAAAACTAATTGTTATTATTATTATTTATAAACTATAAAATCTATAATATATAAAAATCAGTAAAATTGAAAAAAATTTTATTACGAAATGTTGTAAAATGCAGAAAATATAGCCTTGCGAAGTTTGCGTATTTTCAGTATGTTTGTATTACGTGCGGAAATTGTTACCATTTTTAAGCCGAAAATGGTAACAATTTCCGCACGTAATACAAATATACTGAAAATATGCAAACTTCGCTAGGCTATATTTTCTGCATTTTACAACATTTCGTAACCAAATTTTGCAATTTTATTAATTTCATTATTTTCTTTTTAACTGTTGTGTGTTTTATTCCCTTCTCTTTACTTAGATTAAAATTTAGTCTAACATGCAAGTTGTCCATTATACGCTACCAAAATGTCGAACTGAAACAAGTGACGAATTGCATTTTTTTATCCAGCCAATCACAGTTAAATATTTTATAGGAATGCAGAAATATTTTATTAAAAATATTTTATTATATGATGTTGTTTGTTTAATTTGTTTTCACTTTTCCTCTGTATTCTTGATGGATATCGGAATTTATCGGAATTGGATTTTTCGTTATCGGCTCATGTCTACTCTCATGAAGTATGAAGATTTAATCATAACTCACGGTAATGTACACTAATATTGAGCAAAATTTAATAAACGTATATAAAACAGCAAGAAATTAAGATTTCTAAATACCATTGACCCTTCCATTCAGTCCGAATCCATTGTCCAACTCTTACATGCAACATAGGTCGCTGAAAACAAATAAAAATGATAAGACAAAACGTAGACTTTCCAAAGTGCGCGGTTCGTGGTTCCTGGAAGCGACGGACTTTTGCCACCCGCAAGCGCGCCAAATTCACCGGTGCATTTTTGCTCCGGTGACGTCAGTGAATGCTCATTATTATTATGAACAAAACAACAATGAACTAGTGAAATCGACATGGTGAACGTCCACTATGTCATAATTGATTTTCGCGCCAAATTTTTCAGTAAGATTCAAAATCAGGCAAGTGACACAAGTCGCTCGCTTCCGTCTTTCTCAAGCGCTCCCTTCTTGCTACGCGCGGTCCCTAGCGAGCGACTTGGGCAAGTCTAGACAAAACGAAGTAAAAATAACTACCCGCTTGAGGCAGTGAATAAATCCCGACAAAAGGAAAACGAGTAAAATGCCAAAATAACACCCGCAGTTCGGTTCAAATGTAAATTCTTGAAATTAGAATTAAACACTCAAACATATGTTGAATTATTATAGTTTCATATTCTCTTCTCAGGCCACTTTTAGCGCGTTCTGGTTAAGTACATTTTTCGAATCGTGTTGTCACTTTACGCCAGGGGCGGCGGAACAGGGGGGGCTAGGGGGGCTAAAGCCCCCCCAGAAGTAAAAGTGGGGGGGGCTTAGCCCCCCCAAAAAATTTGAATTTTTCGAAAAAATTTTGAAAATTAGGGAAAAATTTAGGTTATTTTTTGAAAATTTAGGTATAAGGGGCCAAATTTGCAATATTTTGTTTAAAAAAAGCGTATTTCCGAAGAATTTTTTTGATATAAGTCCGGAAAAAATTTTTTCGTCCCTTTTTTGGTATATTATACCCCTAAAGTGGTACACTGACCGAAATTTTTTTGGCGACGGGGGGGGGGGGTCGCCGAAAAAATTCCGGGAAAAATTTTTTCCTCCTAAATTTTTTGGGCGACGGGGGGGGGGTCGCTGAAAAAATTTAGCCCCCCCAGAACAAAATCTGTTCCGCCGCCCCTGCTTTACGCGATATTTTTTGAATAAGTCTAGTACCTATATACTGCTGACCTTTCTGTATAAACATTTTTTATGTAATTTTAAATTTATTTTTTACAAAAAACTTAGTTTTCGTCGATGTCACTGATGCATCCTAAGCAGAACAAATATTTCGGATAATAATACAATCCAATGTACAAAATACATAACACAATAGACATGCACCACGCCAAAACGAAATCTATAACATGGTAGATGTACGCATAATCTGTTTTTTTGCACTTCACTTGGTGGAATTAATCTTAGAATGCTGTTGGTATCTTTACGGCTTTTTCGCCCATGCTCTTGATATCTTTACGGCTTTTCCAACCATATTCTTAATATCTTTACGGCTTTTTCGACCATATTTCAACACAATTCGGCAAATGTACTTACCAAGACCGAGTAAAAAAGGCCCGGAACAAGGTTGTGAAGCTATCTTAGGTCCAACGATGTTTTTTTATTCGATGGTTAACTTTTTCTTGTGATTAAGATTGGGAAATCAAATATTTCACATAAAATCGCTACTTTAAATAAACTTCAAAAACTCATTAATAATTCATGAAGCAATTATCCAATCTTGAGTAAGAAATTAGTCACGTGCATACGTCTTTATACCAGCTAAAGAACACTTTAACAAAAGACCATTGTTATGCAAACTATATAAAGATTTTTATATAAAGATTTTTATATAAAGATCTTTATATAAAGATTTTTATGTAAAGATTTGACTTATTATGCAAACGTTTTTGAAGCCATTTAAAAAACTCGCAGGTTGTGTTTTATTAGGTCTAAAGCCACTCGCCCTGCGCGCTCGTGGCTTTAAACCTAATAAAACACTCCTGCTCGTTTTTTAAATAGTACTTACATATGTACGCCAACCGGAAATCAATCGAGCCGTTATATACAGAACAGATGGCGGGTGATAGCGTCAGCAGTTCTTGCTTGAAATCAAGAACGGCTGTTGGCATCACTCGCCATCTATGCTGTCTTTTTGCCACATGAACCGAATGCAAAAGTTTATACTTCTAGACAATTCTCTAACGGGAAGTTTACTTTTGACCCAATAGCCTCATTTCCAGGTTTCACCATTCGTAGCATAGCAGGCCTGCACATGAATGCTATATCCCCTATATTTCCTGCACAAATTAGTTTCTCGCGTTCATCATTTAAGACCAATCACAAACTTTTTCTTAAATTGTGCGCACGGAACATGAGTAAATAACCAACATGAAAATGACGCCATTGGGTTAAAAGTGGATAAACAGCATACCCATTAGCTGGCAATGCACCCTACTTTATAGTGTTAACTCTGTCTAACGCCAGACAAATTTACACTCTGTATAACGCCAGACGATTTTACACTCTGTATAACGCCAGACGATTTTACTTGACAGTGGTAGAGTACTGTCAGTACTAAATTGGGTTAACAAACTGTCTCTTATTAACCGCCATTGGCTGGCAATGCGCCCTATACTTTAGTATTTACTGTCTATCAACGGCAGATTTTACTCGTCAGTGCCAGTAAACGGGTTAATTTCTCGTCACGCGATTGGCGTACGTATTGTGAAAAACATGGCTTGCTTAAGCTCTGTAATACTTGGCGACACGTACCGAAGGATAATCTTCCAAGTACTCTTGAATAAAATCACGTGAATCTTCAATCACATCCTCCCAAACATTTTGACCTAAAATGAAATATACACCACCAGGTTGTATAAACATCGTATATAGTGGCATAAAATCGCTTCGCATGCGTTTCATCATAATCTATTATACTTATAATACTAGTTGATCTTAGCACTGTTTAAATTTCTGAGAATAGGGAAATTATTGAAACTAGAAATAAAATTGTTAACTATGTTTGCAACATACTAAAAGTGTAAAATTTTGTACGACTTTGAAACTCATGAACTTTAATAAAAGTCATTAGCATATTACTCGGGGGGTAGATAGTGCTTCGAAACCTATTGAACTGAACTTTGCAAGCAGATAAATTTTATGATTATATTTTCCTGCTGTTATTCTAGTTTCATGATTGTACTGTTACGTTTGGGAATGAGCCATGCATTAATCCAACCCTTTTTTCTTTCCTTTAAGTCTTACCATAGCCGCCATGCATGTTGGTGTTCCAATTTAGAAGAATTTTAATTAGACTCTTTTGTCTGGAACACCAACATGGCCCCATGGCTTTTGTTGAGTTGGTCACTCGGGAATGAGTGCAAACGCTCTATAGGTAGGGCCAAAAAAAAATATGTGGGTTTCCGGTTTCTTCTTATAAAAACTTAGGTAGGGTAGGTCGGTTTTAACTTTTTTTTTAACTTTTTTTTTAATTTTCCGAATAAGCGGACGCCATTTTGTTTAGTCAGTGCTTCCACATCCAAAGATAAATTTCCCAAATATTGCCTCAAATTTCAATTTTCCAACAAACTTTTTCCTCTAAGTGGAAACACTTACAAGCATGATCCAATAAAAAAGTTTAGGGTCGGGATTTCGACGTCCAAAAGCTAGGTAGGGTCGGGAAACCGGAAACCCACATATTTTTTTTTTGGCCTAGTTGTAATAGGCACACAAAAAGACTAAAAAAAATTCCAGTGTTCCAGTCATACTTTTACCTTTGTGATGAACTTTATGAAGTTTCTTTATCGGCAAATATTGAGCAAAGCCATCATCAAAGAAAACTAGCAGTCGATTCTTGTTCCCTGGACAAGCGTTCTCAGCAATAATTCCAGCGTACCAGATATTTAAATTGCCATAAAGAGCTGTAAAATTTACGAAGTGTAAAGTTAGAACCTTGAAGTATCTGAAAATAAAGATCATTTTCACCATCGCGTCACAAAATTCTAAAATCAAGAGCGGAAGCTACATAAATCCCCAGTAAATACGAGTGTTCACAAAACGTTTTTCATCGATATAATTGTTTCTCCTTCAGTTACAGAAAAAATACAGAAAAAATATTAGTATCTAATATTTTTAGCTTCTTTCACTAATTAAGATACTTTTAATATACTAAACTTCAAAGCTACAAAATAGAAGACGTTGAACTGGATCACTGTTTGATGTTGAACTGGATCACTGTGCACCTTCATTGTTGGTTAAACAGTCTTTAGATGTAGCAACAATATTTGAAATTTAAAATGTTCTTGGCTTCATTTAATTTATTTCGGTGTTGTATAAGTTGTCTGTACAAATGGAGAATGCGCTCATCGACCCATGGTTCAGGGTACGACCGTTGACCAAGTCCGTAATCATTTGGAGCTACACACAGCAGTGAGGGGCATTATTGTGGTAATGGTGACAGGGTATTGCCTTTCCAAATTGAAAAAATTATTTCATGAAATACGCCCCCCGTCCCACCTCACATCCCCTTTGCCAATGTTAAGGGGGTGTATCCCCCCAGTAAAACCATCCCTGCAGGAATGCAAGAGTAATTTTGCTTCTTTTTATACATGAAAACTTAATCCCCCTTGCCAGGATAATTTTTGTGTTTAGATATTTTCTAAAGTGCTACTGCAATAAATTTTCTGAATTAAATAAATATTCAGTCCTTTAGAAGCAATTCGATGTATATATGACTATCATGTTTTGTCATGCTCAGTCTGACTTTCATATAAACAGCCATTAAAACACACATTGACTTGACAGTTATCCTTTTCTTACCATACTGACAAGGTTTCCAAAATTGAGCCTGAAAGCTAACATATATTTGAGCTTGTTTGCAAGGGACTGCATAAGATTTTAAAATTCACATTTTTGACTATTGACAATTCAGCATGCTTGTTGCATTTGTTGCTTGTTGAATCCACGGCTGGATTCTGAGCCTACCTTTCCCACTTCATGGCCAGAAATCTCGCACACAATTATTCTACTTCCTTATACTGATTCGCATATCATCAGTAAAACAGTAAATTATATTACAAACTCAGAAAATACGGTAGGTCGTTTGCAATTTGCCTCAATTGCTGGTTGCACAACACAGTTAATTTGTAGAAATATTTAGTGTAATGTTTGCCTGGTGTAAGTTACTGCCTATTCTGCATTATACAATTACTTTATGGTTTCCGTGTTTGGATGGCCTGATCCAAACACACGGGAATGTTGCGAGAGTTAAGAAAAGCGAGCGAAAGATTTTGCCCGCTTTTCTTAACTCGAGCAACATTCCCAAGTGTTTGGATCAGTCCATCCAAACACGGAAACCATAAAGTAATTGTTTTATAAAATAACAACACGGTAGTCTTCCGTGTTTGGATGGCCTGATCCAAACACGGCTTTCGACCAATCAGAATACGCGTTATATACATGTTATTTTATAATTTCGTTTGTTCCTAGTGGCAGTAGTGCGGTATTCCTATAGAGTTAAATAGAAAAATGTCGTAAAAACTAACATCTGTACAAAAAATATTGAAAATGCAGAATAGGCAGCAACTGAAATCATGTAGGCAACATTACACTAGATAATTCGACATGCAGACTCTGCTTTGCACCACCAATTGAGGCAAGTTGCAAACGACCTATACCTTATTCTCAGATTTTGCGATTAACAACATCGCGTTATATAATTCACTGTTGAAGCCAATATTTCAACGCGATATACAAATTACGAAGGAAGTAGAATACATCAATACATTATAATTACTTAAATTACTTGTCCGTGATATACTGACTCCGGCAAAAGAACATTTCTTTATATTGCTTCCATTCTTTTTAATGCCTCAGACAATGAATGTAAACAACATGTCATTTCACATTCATGCAGCTTTTCAGATGCTTTTATTTTAAAAATAACTAATGCCAAATACAAACTTCGTAAAATCCTTCTTCATAAGCTAAACCTTACTAACAATCTCGAAAACTGTTTTGTACAAATTGTAAATATATCTACTGAACTGTAACTGTTTTCATTACCAGTTAATTTTTTCTCATATATAAATAGTAGTAATCTTACACCTTTGATGTTTGTAAATATTGTAATATTGTGAAGGCCGTATGTTAGACAACTGTTACGGTAAATATAAGTTTCCCTCGTGCTCGAAATAAATTTCAACCGCACTGAAGAACATTAATCATGTACAGTACGGCCCTAATGAAAGTTAACCATTCTCGCTCGATGCTATCGAGGAAAATGTTTCGAGTATCGAGATCTCGAAACCCACTCGATAAAAATTCTCGCTCGCTCGATAGGCTTCTCGAAACGCGCTTCGCGTTACTCGATACACAAGAATTTTGCGAGATGGGAGAAATCTCGATGCAAACATTCTCGAGAATCCTCGTAACAAGAAATCTCGATGCATCCATTCACGAGAATTCTCGCAGCGCTATACTGCGTGTAAAATTTTTCGCAAGAAGTAGCGTTGCTTCGCATGTCCGTGCGAAAACACGGAGTAAACTGAAAATAACAATACAGAGTCAATTCTTGACTGATCTTTAAGGACAACATTAAAATTCAGAAACATTAAAATCCACAATCAATATTTTGAAATAAAGACGAAATACAATCTACGAAAAATAAGTATTATTTTACCTACAAAAGATATCAACTTCGCTTTCCATGCCTTTCCATTCAGCATCACTTGGACGTCACTTCCGTTGACCGCGATGACTACTTCATTTGCGCTCAGTAACTTCTCACACGACACCACTAACAGTGTCTTGTCAGCGTAAAAGTAAACTAACTAACTAAGTAAAACTTCTTCAAGTTTCTTGAAGACATCGCGTTCTTATTTCTATTTCTATAATATCTCTCAGAGCAGGCTCACCGACAGACATCAAAACAGTAACGAGCCTAAGACGCTTCAGATGTCAGTATAAATCAGACAGCATGTTTTTCACTGACGTCATCTGTAACGCTCTTTTGTTTTCGATAATCCATACGAGACAATAAGTTGTCGGTGGAGTTCCTGTTATTGTGGTTGTAAACATGGTGCATGAATACAGTTATCCGTCACTAAATGCAATCAACCGAAGCGAACTAACATTATTTATAGCCTAAGGCTATAATTATATAGATTGCATTTAGTGTATATGAGTCACACCGTAAAATTTTGGAAATAGTCTAATTTTCTATTTCTAACGAGTAGGTTGAACCGCTAATTCTAATAAAGTATATAATAGAAAGAGCGTGTTTTTACTGACACTAACATGTAACACTTCGAATAAACAGACGCTGATTTAACCAGGGAATTTGTTTATCTTGTGGTTGGGTATAGGTGAGTAACGAAATAATATAACCGCTATCACCCTATCATAGTTATATTTTTAGGGAACTGGTACAAATATATGTCAAAATATGTGACGTTTGCCATTCAAGGAAACAGCAATTATCATCCTATATTTCGCCACATGTTGGTCAAACTCTCGCTCGATTTCGCATGATACAAACAATTTTCGAGAACCCTCGCTCAATATCTAATTAAAGTCTTCGAGAACACTCGTTCGATATCAAATTTTTCGAGAACGCTCGCTCGCTTCGCGCTCGCATTCTCGCAACTCGCAGATTTCTCGTTAGGGGTCAAATCGCGCTCGATAGCCTCTCGCTCGAACTCGCTCGTTACACGATGTTAACTTTCATTAGGGCTGTACTGTATACACAGTATTCATCACTTTCCAAACACCAAAGGTTGTGGCAGACTAGTTGCTTGGCAGCTGAATCTTAAACCTATAGTTGAATACGGATGCTGCTTGTGTGGTCAGTTATCGCGATAATCCCGTTTTAAGTTGTATCTGCTGTATTAAAAATTTTAACTAAATTTTCGGTAGTCTTCTATTGCCTTCATCAGAGTAAAATTTTCGACTCAAAAATGGTAACAATTTCCGCACGTAATACAAACATACTGAAAATATTCAAACTTCGCAAGGCATATTTTCTGTATTTTACAACATTTCGTAACCAAATTTTGCAATTTTACTGATATTAATAAGTTCTTTACGGGAATTTACTTTTTTTTTGCCTAAATCAAAAATTAGTCTAAGATGCAAGTTGTCTATTTTGGCACATTTTTCAAATATCACTCGTAGTGTTAATCATTAATTGCACTCCTTCCCGTGTGATTATACCTGTGTAAACACAAAACAGCAACCTACCAACAACCCTACTTCCTACACTCAGATCACACAATGCAGCTGGCTCTTCAGGGCATATATGGTTCAACGACAATACACCTTTAGGTCCTTTATCATATTTGATACTGTACTTCACCTAAGAAAAATATACAGTGTTTATTGAGTATAGATTTAACTCAAAGCCTTTATACACCAGACTTAAGTCAGTTCGAGAGGGCCATGTCTGTATATTTTATTTTTGTGAAGGTGCATGGCCAATCCTTGAATGCATGGAGGTAGGCATATACAGTACGGTCTATACCGATCACCAAGAAAACCAAAACTAGTAGCCTGGAGGACGACATATTTTTGGAGTTGATAGTATAGGCGTATGGGGCTGGTGCTTTCTGGGAGTTGAAAGTTTGCCCGAATTTTTATGAAGGATTATAACGAAACCTGAATTTAACATATTTTCTGGTATGCAATATCTGCCAAAATTTTCTTGATTTTTCCTAGCATTTGCCCGAATTTCCATGGTTTTCTAAACTTTTTTTTTTGGGGGGGGGGAGCAATTGCCCCTCGCCTGCTCCCCCGTCTCGTACGCCTATGGTTGATAACCATTAAACTATTTTTCGGAGTTGATAGCCATTCACAGTAGGTTCAGATGATAACTAGCACCACTTCCTTCCTTTGGAGTTGTACAATAACTCCAACATTCTTAATTCAAAGTTTTTTATAAATACAGGTACCTTAGACCAAGTTAATTGATGTTATCTTAATAATTCATACCTGTCCAATCTTGTCACTCATAGTTTTAATAATTTCACCTAAAATACATATTGAAAACATGACACTGTAATTACAAAAATTAGCATACATTTTGCAATTTGCATTATATGCATGCAAATACGTTTTAGGGCGATCTGTTACACGAAGCAATTTTTTTGTTGAAATATGTAGTGCTATTGTGATGTTATATGTTGAAATGTAGTAACCCAATCTCATTGGCTGTCAAATAATATTATGTACCTTAACATCAAAATTCAATTGAAAATTATACTATTCCAATTTCCCACCTGTTTTTACACAATCGAGTTAGAAATATACTTTTATTATAGAAGTGTACAGAGATTTCCGTGCAGTGGATGGGTGAAATAAGAATTGTGTTCTCACGGTGGACGACGATATTTTCACATGTGAAAATTATTGTATCAGAATTTTGATTGGCCGGTGTTTTCGCCCTCATAATAAAGAACTTAAGCAAGCAATGTTTTTTACAGCACGGGAGACAACCAGAAGTCAATCGAGCCGTTGTAGATGGCGAGTGATAGCGACAGCCGCTCTTGTTTGAAATCAAGAACGCGGCAGTTACAGTATAGAAGTTTCACATTTGCTTTGCTTAATCTCTCCAATTGTAAACATGCATGGCGCCCGGTTTAATCGAAATCACCCAAGTTTTTATTGCATATTTCGTTAATAAAGCGACAATAGGCTACTATCATACACTGCACATCAAAGACAAAAATTCTTAGATTTAGAAGTCAAATTCTTAGAAGTCTTGGGACAATTGACCCTAGAATTGCTTACGTCACGCAATTTTCAATCCATCAAAAAATTAGGTATACCCAATGCAATGTCGGATACAGTGACGTGACGTACGGAAATCTAAGGTCAATTGTTCCAAGAATTTTTCCTACCTGGAAACCAAATATCACTGGACCTCTTGCCAAGCACTCGTGTACCAATTTTAAAATCAGAAGGACTGTGAGGTCGAACGCTGGAAAGGTAAGAACAGGTTAATATAAAAGTATATTGTCAATTTACTATTTGCAGGGCAATGTAAATAATATCCTCCATTTTTATAGGGCGAATATCCTGAAAAATTCAAGGCGCTTTATACAAGTTTTATAAGTATTTATATAAATTTACAATTGATAAAATTAAAATTCAATTAAAATTCAATTCAGTTATTTCAAACCTTGCGGCTTTTGAAGGGCGATGAATTGGACCGCTAATAGAAAACTCTAAAATACTTTTGTTAAAAAGCTAAATTGTCCTTCAGTTGATAAATTTAATGATAAATTTAACAATGATAAATTGTTAAATTTATCATTGTTAATATATAATTGTTAATTATTTATTTTTCCTTCAATGATAAATTTAACGTCGAAATGCGAAAGCGAACGTTAATCATCTTACCTGTATCTGCCGATCATCGTGCAATAATCGAGCGATAACCGATTATTTCAAAATGGCCGACTCATCCCTAATTTCCATGGAAGCTACAGAAATAAAGCATATAGAATACCAACCTTGGTATTAATGCTTCGCTCTCCATTTCCTTCAACAAATTGTCATTGCTTGACACTTCTTGCAAGAAATTGTCCTCCTTTGGGGCATTTTCTGTTTGAGATGTTTGGAAATCTTCAGCTAAGCTTGATTGACTAAGATCTGTGACTGGTGAGGAAGCAGTTTCTGTTGAAGCGTCGCTATCGGCAGATGTTGGTCGAGTTGGTGATGATCTATGGTAATAAAAGAATGACACATAGTGTACTATTTAGCCCGTGTACAGGCATGTATCCTTAAATGCGGGTTGGTGCCTGACATGTTTACATGTTGTTAACAGGTCAGCTGGCCTCTGTAGCTCAGTTGGTTAGAGCGCTGCAGCGGAATCGCAGGGCCGTAGGTTCAATTCCTACCAGAGGACCTTGTGCTGCATTTTTTTTGCAGTCGTTCCTGGTTAGGTCTTAAAATGTATATATTCTCACTTGTCGTAGCTGTCCTGCTTATCGCGGGCGCATTCTTTTTGCCAGCCAGTTTTGTCGATTTTAACGAAAACTCAGATTTCGCACTGCAGTGGAGTAAAAAGAAAAGCAATATAGCAGACTTAAACATTGACGACAAAGCATTCAAAACGATCGTGAAATTAACAACAGTCAAGAGTTCTTCGCTGCAACATGGCCGAAAATGGAGTTTCTGCCCAAATGTGTGTTTTTGAACAATAGGTCGCATTGCAGTCTTCTCGTCAAAATTTCTTAACGTTTTGTAAAGAAGTTAGAACTCAATCAGGCCCAAAAAAAAATATGTGGGTTTCCGGTTTCCTCTTGTAAAAACTTAGGTAGGGTAGGTCGGTTTTAACTTTTTTTAAATTTTCCTAACAACCGGACGCCATCTTGTTTAGTCAGTGCTTCCATATCCAAACATAAATTCCTAATATTGCCTCAAATTTTCATTTCCCACAAACGTTTTCCTCTAAGTGGAAGGGGATTAGGGAGGGGATTTTGGCGTCCAAAAGCTAGGTAGGGTCGGGAAACCGGAAACCCACATATTTTTTTTGCCTCATGCATAAAATAAATCATGAATGAAAGCTAAAATAGCAAAGTCCAAGTTTTATAGAGCTCTGGCGGTGGATCATGCAGTTTAATAGTCGCCACTTTAAAATTTACCACTTGTTTGCACAACAATTCGCGGACATACCTTGTTGGAGGAACTTCTTCGGACGTAGATGTTGAGCCCAACCAAGAAGTATCTTGCGGTACATTTGAAGGAGCTAAAGGAAATATGAAGCACTAGTGTTTACAATCAAAGTTTTGCCTGGCAACATTTTAGCGATTTTGCATGGTGTCTCTGTACGAATAACCCGGTATTTCTTAGTCAGAGAGAAGTAATTTGGGAGTCACAATTTCCAGTACACTTCAGTGGAATAATCACATCAGAATAAGATCTCGAACGCGTGCAAAGACAAGCGCATTTTAACCTTTCTATACACTTTTCCAAAGACGCGAGGACATATGCAGGTATTATAAATCGTTCAATAACATCATTAATAGTATATCATTGGTTGATTTCAGTGCAGTTGATCTCAAACAGCAGTGCAAAAATCTGTAACAAACTGATCTGATTGATGGGAAAACAATGAGATCTAAAATCAACCAATCAGCTCAAAACAGTCGTCAAGTAACGATCACAGATGATAGCCTTATTAGATCTAATGACTTTTCTACAGTAACTGTTTACTAAAGAGTAAATGTAAGATATTTTAATTGTATATTGAAATTTGTCACGCAATTCAGCTTTGGGCTACGATGTAAATTTTTTAATAAATCTATGTATCTCACTGGTCAAAGCAGACACACGCAACTACATAAACGGCGCCGCTTTGATGTAATTTGCATGTGGCGATTTAAATATGGCGTCTTCAACACACATTTCCCTATTCTCATTAGCTGGATGGAAATTGCAACTTCCGTAGCGGAAGTGAAGAAGCAGGAAAGTGAGTTGTGATTGGATGATCCAATTAATGAGGACAGAGGTCGGTCAAACCGAGCATATAACACACGATGAGCTGGTTAATTCGGCCTACAAAATATCAGAACGTGGCAGAACACAAACGGCAAAGATACGCCGAGGAGAAAACCGCCCACCCACCTCCCCTGTAGGCCAATAGCGAGTTTTATCTCGAACGATATTTCTCAACCGGTCGCGGATTTTATTCCCATAACTTAATTCCATCCACGTGCGGTTGCATTTGACAACAGATAATGAGAATGCGTTAGAATCTTCACAACCTCGATCCATGCAGGCCTTTGATCACAGTGAAAAAAAATCGAAACATAAATTACCCAACAATGTGGAAGATTTTGACGGAACTGCCACTGCAACTTGCTTGAAAACGACAAATAGCCCGGTTAGTGGTCCCGTTAGAAGTCGCCGTCTATAGCGTAGACGATCGCCGTGTTTTACCGAACAAATAACCCAAAATCGTAAAAACACGCTGATAACGAAGGAACTAGACTGAGTTTCGAAATATCACGCACTCGATTGACTCGAACCGACTTGACCGTGTAGATCAGTTGGTAGAGGATTGGACAAACCCATACCTCAGAAACACCAAGGGAAAGGTTGCTTATTTTGATAAGAGAAATTATTGGATAATAATACGGCATAGTCTCTAAAAGTGCATTCCAAAATCACTACAAATGCCATTTCGGAACGTCTAAATTTCAAAATCTTCACAGGGAGATACCCTCGGAGCCCCTCCCCTCCTGGCGTGGCGTAGTACCTTCTACATCTTTCGCTACTCTAAATTCTACTGGGAAGTTATAACATGAAGTTATAACGTTAACAACGGAGCATTTTTGTATCAACTGAAGAACACCGAGAATTATAAATGGCCCTAACTTAAGTGATTTTTAAAAAGTTTCTGAGTCCAATATAACGTCCACAAAAATGAGTCCCTAAAAAAACTATCTCGCGAAATTGTATGCACTTGAAACCATGCTTTTATCATACTCGTTTCAAATAGTAAGAGCATAAAATTATTGCTATAAAATACTTTAAAATATGTAGAATTTTAGCATGTAAACACATTGTAATTGACCATTCTTTTGTTTACTATTGAAATGTGTAAATATAATCATTAGCACAAATATGCACACAGGATTCTTGCTGTTGCAGTATAATTGTGGTAGTCAATTTCGAATGTGCGTGTAAAAATGTGCTCTAAAACACAACAAGAAAGTACCCTAACCTTCAGAAATTGCCACGTCATCATTGCTTTGTGCAACAGTTGGTGACTGTTCAAGAATTAAAGAACGACGTTTCGCGTTAATCTCTATTACTTCCTGTTGTGGTGATCTTTCTTCTGTTTTCTCAGTAACATCTATAGGTGTTATTGGTCCTTCTTCTGGGATCGCAAGATCCGTCTTTTGTTCAACTGTCTGCTTAGTCTCATCCTCATCATCAATAACAATAGGCGTCTCTTTTCCACTTCCGATTTGATTTGGTACGTCGTTAATTCTATATACATAACATAAATAGAAATTTATAAGTACTATTTACAACACGAGCGGCTGTGTTGTATCGGATAACATGTGAAACGTCTTGATGAGAACATTCGTGTTCTTCAACAATTTAAAATAAATCAATGATATTTGGTGAGAAAATTATAAACTTAAAGTTTATGTAAATTAGCACGATTCTGTATCAAATATACAAACTCCTTCACGATCATGATTTCTTTTGCGTTTTCAGGCCTAGAAAATGTATTTATCTTCCTGGCAGCAAAATTCAAAAGTTAAAATTTCGTGCGTAAGTCAAGTGAAACGTAAATTTCAGAGAACGTGTGTACTATGATTCTGCCGCACATCTCGACTTGCAAAATGTTTAATTTGGAATTTTGAAATAATAAGATGACAAACATTTCCTGCAAAGTGCAAGAAAATGTCCTGGGAAGATATTGTGTAAAAAATTTCCTGGCAGCAGGGCGCTGCCAGACATATTCCAGCACTGGCATTTAGGAGTGTCTTCTTCATGAATTATTAATGAGTTTCACAACAGCAAATAACAAATGTAACCACTCTATGTACATAATAATAGGGCTTGTAAATGGAAATTATCGAGTGGAAATTTACACACACTTATTAGACCTAATCAGGAACAGCTGCGAAAAATGCAACTACAGGTTCCTGCGGCCCTGCGATTCCGGTGCAACACTCAAGGCCAAAAAAATATGGGGGCTTTCTTTTTTTTAAACATTTTCCTAACAACCGGACGCCATTTTGTTTAGTCAGTGCTTCCACATCCAAAGATAAATTTCCCTAATATTGCCTCAAATTTCATGATCCAATAAAAAAAGTTTAGGGTCGGGATTTCGACGTCCAAAAGCTAGGTAGGGTCGAGAAACCGGAGACCCACATATATTTTTTTTGTGGTCACGTGGCTTTAAATAAATGAAATGTATCCCGCCGGGTAACAAGTGAAAATATGTTACCCGAACCGACCAGCTACGTATACATAAATAAAAATGGCGGGACAACTCGCAGATTTATAAACGAGTGTAATTGAGAAGAAAAACACACAACAGGCAAGAGCATATGCAGCTGAAACCATTTGAGTATAGGTACTTTTACTGTAAACTTACATAGAGAATAATACATGGGTGCGCGGAAATACCAGATTTATTTCGAGTGTTGAACATGATATCTCACAAGTGAGCGCAGCGAACGAGTGAGATATCATGTTCAACACGAGAAATAAATCTGATATTTCCAAGCACCCATGTATTTTTCTGTTTATTATATAAACAAAATTCAGTGAAAAACAATAAAACGTCCGTGGCAATGCGTTTTACAACAAATGATATTTTCACACGTAAAAATATCGTATTTTTTACGTGTGTTCAAATACGATTTTTCTCAGTAGCCAAAAGCTCTATATAACACTTATGTTTATATGATAAACTCATTTACATTATAAAGTTTTTGCCAAGAAATACAATTCTATGTGAACGTTGTTGATTTTTTCAAAATGGTAAAGTAACATCTTTTGTGGATTATTATTTCCAAACTTCGTTACTGATACAATTAATTTTGTTTAATAAAGTAATGCAACTGCAGTGACGTCATATTAAATTCATAATTTCTGTATATCCTCTACTTAGCCCCTCTGCATTCTTTTAAGCCTCTACCCTCTATTTAGCCCCCACCCTCTCTTGGCGAAATCAATCTCAGTATCGATCTAATGTTCGAGGTTTTCCTTTTCCCTTTGTAGTTAATCTGTACCTCAAAGAGGTCGTGTAAAGACTGAGCACTACCTAACTTGTCCTAACCTATCTTATACGCATAAATAACGTCAAAATTCATTCAGCCCCCGGACTCTATTTATCCCCCCTTCTAATAAGCCCACAGTCAAGGGCCACTAGGGAAATAATGTTTTTTTCTAACACAAAACAATTTCCTGTTATGCAGTACCTGACTTTTACTTCACTTGATGCTTTCTGGTTAACTGGTTTTTCAGTAGCAGAAAATCGTTGAACAATTTCATCAAGCGACAAACCACTAACATCACTGCTTTCTCTGAATTGCAAGAGACGTAAGAAAGCACATCAATCACTATCGACTATTGTACTATTTCAAAAATCCAGGACTTTTTCTATGGATATTTGAATTATGAGAAAAATAATTTCGCCAATAAGTCAACGAGTCGATAACGGGTTTTCCGCTATAAATATCGCTATCAAGTAATAACACTATCGAAAAAGATTGATATGCTATGCATAAGAACGTTTTGTAATCACTCGTACACAAAAAGAACATTTAACAATTCAAGTATCTTAGACATAGTATGTAAGTAAGTTTGTTATAAAGCTATAGGGTGAACACCAAACGTGATTGGTTGATTTGCGGTCACGTGCATCGCTTTAAATAAATGCAATATATCCCGCCGGGCAACAAGTGAAAAATTGTTGTCCGTCCCGACCACAGATCAGTCGCCCTTCAAAGACCTCTCCAAAAGACTATTCAAGAGTTTCCAGGGCTATTAAATTGCTAAAATAAGAATCGATGGGGGAGCGTCTATACGACGTTCGCTCATGTGAACTAGCAGTCACTAATGTCAACAAAAATAATTTCGCCAATAAGTCAAGTTTTAGTCAATGAAGTTTGTGTTTGGTTATAAGTTTTATCTGTATCTAGCATAAAGTTGAAATAACAAGTTGTTTACATTCACTATCTACGGAATTAAAAAGAATGGAAGCACTATAAAGAAAGGGTTCTTTTGCCGCAAGCAGTACTGTGGGAAAGGCAGTTGTTGAGTGGAAGACCATGGCCAGGAATAAGTGACATTTGCACCCATTAAATTAAGACAAGATTTTGTGTCAGCGGGTTCCGGTTGGGACATGCGTAATAATGACCAAAATCCTATTGCATTGCATTGCATTGCAATGCTATGGCCAAGTGAAATGTGTTTTTTAAAGGAAAGGAAAGGAAAAGTGCTGTTTAGATGGATTTTATGACTGATTCTGGAATTTCAGCCATCATGATTTGCCGTCTTGTATCCGCGCAAAAAACCAAAATATTCCGTAATTTGATTATACTGCTGACCAACAATCAACTCTGAGGGCACATAATATAACAAAGCCACCTATTAATTTCTATATCTACACGAGTGAGTAACTCCTATACATAATTCTGATGCTCAGTTACCTTTATTCTATTCTATATGCTTCTGTAAACTAGAACAATAGTAATTAGGCATGTGAGTTATCTAAAATTGTGAATTGGGACCAACCGGTTATTTTTAAGCCGCGTTTCCTCAGCTTTCTTGATCTGAACTTCCAGTGATTGCAGAAGATTTTTCAACTCTAACTGCTTAACTAAACAATAAAAAAGCAAATGAAGGACCATTTAAAAAAGTACAGATGGGTGGGAATCTACTCCCCTCCCCACTTGTCCTTTTATCGTTCCAGTGTCCCCAGGGGCCAGGGTCTGGCAATTAGATATGTTTTGACTGTGCACCCTTAATACCTGTGATTCAAACAAACTGTTAAATTATTAACACGAACCGATATTTTACAAACGTAATAGTGTTGGGACAGGCAGTAGGATTTCAGAGTTTATGGGAACCATAGAACTATTTTTCCCTACCATAAATCTGGTTATATGGGTACCATGTACCCTTTCTCAAATTAGGTTTTCTTCTCTACAAATAACATTTTTAACTTTAATTGTGTTTCAGAAGCTGTGACATCACATGCTGACTTTCCTCGTTTATTATTAGCGTGACAAAATTACTGGATGCTGATTGGTTGAGAGGAGTACAATTATTTCATTAATTGTACTGCAGTACAATTAATGATTTTCCCCAAACAAACAAAGTGGCCGAAAGGTATTTTAAACACAACTGTGAAAAAATCAAATTGCCCTAGAGGAACTAGATGAAAATACGAACAAAAGCACCAAGTTTTGCTTTAACAAAAGAACTAAATGGAAATACGAACAAAAGCACCAAATTTTGGTTGAAAGTATGGCAGGACTGGACTTTGGGAAGAGAATATGATGTTGACATTGAGAAGTATCCAATTTTGTCATGCTAATAATAACAAGTGATCATGCAATGTTGGTCGTACATTTAGGGATTAATAGTACTCGTGATGTTTGGAAATTTGCCAAATTGTACTTGCCCCGGCGGTTCGTCCAATTTTGGCAACATTTCCAAACATCACTCGTACTATTAATCCCTAATTGTACTCTCCATCGCATGATTACCTATACTTATTAGGGCAGATGAGCAACAAAATTAATACCCAATTATGCGATCCAAGTGTTAACACCAGGCATTCTGGAATTCCACGATTTCGCGGAATCGTCCAAAAATTGCATAATTCCGCGGAATTCAGTTTAAATGGCGGAATTTAAACTTTGGTAAAGTATTTTCTTTATTTTCCCCTTAAATTCACACAAAGATACATTTGTGTGACGTGACACAAGACGTTTTTGTAAAATTTAAAGCCTTACGAACGGAGATTTCATTCAAAGTGGAAGGACTTTCGTTGATATTCATCATTTCACTTATTAGCATTTTAATTTTTTAACTTCTAATAATATTCCTGCAACTGCACTTCCGGTTCACAGAATGTCATTTGTGATCTGTACCTTTGGAGTTTGGTTCGTGAAAAAAGTTCGATAATGTTTGATGACAATTCAGTTTTCCATGACCGTGGATATAAAATACATTCAATTTAAAAACATTGGCAGTGGCAAAACGTTAGCAAAACCCACGCACTGTGACTGTTTCTATTTCGGCTTCTTGAACTTGCTGTCACACGGTGCTTCGATTAAGAGCCGCAGATTGAAAATAGACCTTTCCCCTTATGAGTGAAATTTTGATCTAGATATGCCAGGAGAAAAATTTCATCACAGCTTGAAAGAGCATCACAAAATTAGTAATATTCCGAAGTTTCGTTGCCAAATGTTGTAAAATGCGGATAACATAGCCTTGGGAAGTTTGCCGTTTTTCAGTCATTTTGCATTACAAACGGGAAATTGATAATCGGATGATCAAACGGGCCAGTTTTGGTCCCAGCAATGTACATGGCCAACACAGTCTTCTAGCTAAGATCCTAGGTCGATTGAGAGGCTGAACGAATGATGGGGCCCCGGGAGAACCATCCAGCAAGAGGGGGGAGGGGAGGGGAGGGGGGCTATGGCATCATAATTGTAAACAGGAGAAGCAGTGTATTAATGTAACAATATATTACGCTTTACTGCAATTTAGTCTGGCACTGACGCAGCTAGGATTTATATTAATTATTGGCTAAGCAACCTTGTATCAAGAAATTCTAAGGACCTTCATCTTGGCAGCCCTGACATAGCAACATGTTACCGGTAATGATAGGTACAGTACTATAGAGGAGCAGTGCATCTTAGGGGACACCTTTTCCACTTGAGAAGGGCATTTTCCCATTGTATTTCGCCCCCTATGTATTTAACCATTACACTTGAACACTAATTGACAAAGTCCTCCATTAAAACACCTGGAAATAGTGGTGGATCCTGGGAACGATGTTCCTAGAAAATTTTTTGATTGCTAGAAAGGATTTTCAATTTTCTTTGGCAGAAAGTTTTGAAATTTCTTTAAAAACCAATTATCCTTAAAAGTAACAAAAAGGTTAAATTTCCCAAATTTTCATAGAACTGAAAACGCCGATATAAGTGATATCACCTGTTGCACAAAACGATCAAAAAAAAGTTTTCATTTGAGCATACATAAAAATATTCCTTGAAATTTAAATTTCTTTATCACACAACTTGCAAATGTCAAATTAGGTAGTTTCTGTACAAACACTTACAAGTTACAACTACAACTGTAATAAGCTATTACACTATATAAGCATTTGTTACAATTTAATTTGATATGCTAAGACCTAAGTTGCTAACATATAATTAATTAATATTATCCAATTTATTGTTTAATTGAATAGATTTTGTTAACAGTGAAAGCTGTGAAGCACAGTTAATGCCTAACAGCTGTAAGAGTTTTTTTTCATTTCCAAAGAAAATGCTCCCCCCCCCCGGCCTAAATTTGATAACAGTTCTTTCAAAGAAAATATTTCCTCCCTGGCCTAGGATCCAAGAAAGGCTAGAATTATTTCCAGGTCTGCCAGCTTGTGACATTATTTAACAGCTTAACCATGTAATTGGCTGACACCAGTGGCGTAGCCAGCCCGACAATATAGTCATGCTATGCAAATATTTCCGTGTTCATAAACCGTGAAAACAATCAATTTCTAAAGAAATTAATAATGATGATTTGAAATTTGCATAGCATGACCAAACTGCGGGCTGGCTACGCCACTGGCTGACACTGGTCTCTGAATTGCAGTGGCCAGGTTCAAACATCCTCTGACCAAATATTTTTATTTGACGATATTCTTATTCGGCTATCAGGGGAGCAATGCATCTTAGGGGAAAGCTTGTCGAATAAAATATTTGGTCAGAGAACGTTTGAATTTAATAGAAATATTAAGTTTACATTACCTGAGACAGCTTCAACACGATCAACAAATGTACTTGTTAACCTAAAATTTACAAGACTGAGTAAAAGTTGCTGTAAGTGCCTGCAATACAGATCAATAAAATCATGAGGTATGCATGAGGTATGCATGAGGTATGCAAATAATCAGTGTGCACCTGCAATGTGCCCAAATGCACCTAATTTTATCATTTTATTATGCCTAACACCAGATGATTTTACTCATCAAGGGGTAAAACATGCACGAGCGAGTCTTTCAAAGAGCATCAAAATAGCATGAGTCCGAAGGAGAAGTGCTATCCGAGGTCTTTGAAAAACTCAACCTTTCCAAAATCATAAACCATGAGTATTCCTTTAGGAGAAAGGAGGGACTGCTGAAAACACATCAAGAGACAAAATATGCATTGCCCCTACAACGTAAAATTCCCATTGGTCAAAATCAATGTGCCTGTCAATCAAATCTGATATGTAGTAATTATACTATAAATTATTTCCAGACTGAATGTTGATTTTAAAAAATAAACATGACATTAATTATGGTTCCTATTGGATAGATTTAATTGGATATAAGTAATGTTTATGCAAACTTGACACGAGCGAAAAGTGGGCGTATTTCATTTGTTGATGTGTTTCCCCTCGCACACCTGGGAAGCTAAACCCGTGGAAAGAAGGGACCACTCACCACTCACAACTTCAGTTTAGATAATCTAATTTTCAATGAGGCAAATATGACTAGCTTGCCTGGTGCAAATATTTTCAAAGCACATATAATTGTTACATGCACTAGTGAATTCGTTTACACCACCTAAACACTACTTATTTTCTTTGCCAAAAATCCACTACAATTTTCTTATGGAAGATTGCTGTGCAACAGGGCAATTTTATCGCATATAGCAGTTTCATAGTATTTTTTCAATAATATATTGTATTCTCAAATGCACATTATTATTCATTATACGGATCATGAATCGAATATATAATCGCATGTTATTCATGTTCAGATGTTCCTGCATATACGACCCGACATTTTGCCCGCAATTTGGATACAAAATTGTACGCATATGTAAATACGGCGGACAAAAGGCAAGAATGAGTCGGAGCAGAATTCTATATGTAAATTACATTACTGTATGTCGCAGAAATACAGTTATTTTAACTAAAGTGCCTTGTCTTCAAGGATGTTATGAAGCAATGTATTTCATTAAAAAATACTCTCATAATGTACGAAATGCCATTTCAGACCCCCGGTACCGGACTTTTACAAAGGTGTCATCCACATCCCCAATCTCACTCTTAACTTCTCTGCAAAGTTGAGAGGTCTGACACCATCACAGCACGGTCTGATCGCCACACCATATAGTATGTCAGTTTCAGTCCCCTTGTACGCCATCACAGCGCGGTCTATCACGAATCAGCGCGCGTCAAGTGGCATTGGCTAATTGGCTTCACGTTTCTCCCGCATGTTATCATTCCAGATAAAAGACATGGAGTTCACTGGTAGAAACATACAAACCCAAACTTTTAACCCAGGCCTCTGGGTTACAAATGCACCTAAATTCCTAATATAGAATTTTATACAAATACTGATGCCTTGAAAATCGAAGATGAAAGTCAGATGATGAAAGTCCAAGATGAAAGTCAGATTGATTTGTAAATCCGATGACATTAGTTACACTTTATTTACAAAACATGGTGCGCAAAAACAGAATGAACATTCCACAATAAAAACTCACCGGTTACATTTTCCGCTTGTTTTCGCCTTTTCAAACTCAACATCAATGATATCCTGTAGTTGAATCAAATTTACTCCCACCGAACTGCTCCCCATAGTTTTTAACTTTTCATCGCAATTTAAAAACTACACACATTCAAATTTTAGCACCACCACTGTCGCAAAACGCCACACTTCGCCGCCATTTTGTGAAATTGTATAAACTGGTAATGCGCATGCGCCAATTATTTCATAAACAACAAAATTGTCACAGAATAAATTTAGATCAGCAACAGAAGGGCCACTCAACGATGCAACCTCGTCCCCAGGGTCGATGCAACGCGTCGTTCGTTTTTTTATACAAAAAATATGCAGTTTACTGGCCGGAGCAGCCAGCCAGTACAGCGTGTTTATTGGGCAGAAAATGTCATTGACTGGCTAGGAAAATGGCGGCCAACATGCGTAATGCGACATGCTCGAAGACAGAAACTTCAAAGCTTCCGACGTAAGTGGCCCTTCTGTATGGACCTTTATTCTGTGAAATTCTCGAATCCCAATTCCCAGGACATTCTCCCCCCTTTAGGAGACCCCCCTTCAGAAACTTCGCTTGTACTTTAGGAATTTCGTTCCCCGTAAAAATTTCGCCGTCCAAACGGTTGCGTGGGATAATACCAAAAACAGGGCCGGAGATACGGAGGGGGGGGGTGACACCCCCAGAAATTTTATTCAGTCGTCAGGACTGCTATTCAGTCGGTAGGAATGCTATTTGGTTAAATATTTTCGCGCATTTTTACATTTTAAAGCAAGTAATTGGAATTGGAATTAATTCCTTTTTCAGTGCGGGTAATTTTACAGCCCTGCATTTAAGAGACTTTAAAGGGGTCTAAAATATCTATGGGTCTAAATCGGAAAACCTGTTTAAGGTTTCAATAGATTCCTATCCCGATCGATAACTTATTTTATTTTATTCCTTTTATGTACTGAATAGTATTTCATATGGGCGAATCATTAAATAAATAAATAAATTACAGGTTTTGGTTAAAAGACGAAACGCAAAGTGTGCTCCATACCATATAGACAGAGCACGTTTTGTTTTTAGATCAAAATGATATGGGGGGGGGGAGAGAATTCCTATGGGGACCGTTATTCCTCGGACACTCGCCTCCAGGGGGCGATATTCCAGGGATTTCACCCCGGAAATTCTTTCTGAGGGTTAAAATTGTGGAAATCTTTTCAACATATATTCAGCTAAAAACTGTTACATGAAGCACTACCGGACCGGCCTCGTACCCAGGCGCAATGCGGCCGCTATGGCTTGCGTGGTCTTTTTGCTTCTCCCACGCGTGTAGTCCCGCGTGCGTGTCGCGCGACGGCGTAGAACAACAAAGCGCCTGGGTATGAGGCAGCTGCCATACGCTCGCGGGCGGGTTGGATATATTTGACGGGAGAGTTAATAGTTCGAACCTAACCTGCGATCAGGCCTATAAATAAATAAATAGGCCTGATACAAATCTTAACAAAAGCCCAAGTTTTTACAACCGTATTTCGGTTGTAAATCTGATTGGTTTATGAGACAAAATATTTTTTAATCTGTCATTTGATTGGTTGGTGCTAATTAAATTATATATTGTCGCTGATATATTTATATTGATCACAACTATAATTAGAATTGTTGTCGTTGTGTGAAATTTAAATTTCTCCTGCAATATTTTGATTGTATACTAAATATAAACTTTGCTGTGGGTGGAAAGCGATCGGATTAAGGATTGTGTCAGGCTATTATTTGTAAAATAGAGCCTGATCGCAGGTTCGTTCGAACCACGCTCACTTTTTCCAGCGATCACACCAAATTTGTTAACGCTCCCGACGTTTCCTTTAACAACATGGGAGAGTTGAATTTGGCGTAATTCGCTTTCGTCAAAACATAAAGAGATTGTAATAAAGATAAGAGAGAGTAACTGAGAATATATAACTGTTAACAAAGTTCTAAATGTTATGGCTGTAAAGCAAGGCGGGAGTCGTGACCTCCACACATATCGGAGCAATCATTGTCATTCAATTCGCGGGAGAAATTAAAAATGAAGCCAAGATGGCCGGATTATTATTATTATTATTATTATTATTATTATTATTATTATTATTAAATCGATTCTCGATCTGGTGCCAGTGGTCTAACATGATTGTCAGGGTTGATAAGTGTTCAACATTTGGGATCAGGAAAAGTCTCACAAAATCTATCCAATATTTACCTAAACTTCTGATTAACAATGAATTGATACCTGCCACTAAAATTGGAGAGTCGTTTCGATACTTGGGGAAATATTTTGACTTCAGTATGTCCGAAAAAGAACACAAACAAGAGCTAATCACTCTCATGGACGATATTATGTCTGAAATTGATCTCAAACCTTTGCACCCAAAAAATAAACTTTTGCTTTATAGTCGTTACCTCCTATCCAAACTTTCCTGGCATTTCACTGTAACCACCTTATCAAAAACCTTGGTCTCTGAAAATATGGATTCTGTGGTGAACAAGTACGTACGTAAATGGCTTGAAATACCTATATCAGGAACTCTATCTAACGTCTACCTTACCAGTAACAAGTTTGGTCTAAATATCTACCCGCCGTCAATTAAGTTTGTTCAGTGCCAAACAGTTGCTCGTAACGCCTTAAAGACCTCTCCAAATCATTCCATAAAAGACCTCTGGAAAACAACATCTGAAAGCAAAAACATTCAGTACGACGTCTACACCTCGACAAAAGAAGTCCTTAAAACTTTTACCTCCGGACAAGAAGACAAACTGCAGAATCATCTGATTTTGCAAGGCTCCTTCTTCTCAAATGTCATTAAGTTTTCACTGTCGAAATTAAACGGTATATGGTCTAAATCCCAATCAAACCTCCCAAAGAACATCTATAACTTCACCATTTGTTACATTAATAACTCACTTCCAACTCGTAAAAACCTTACTAAATGGGGAATATTGTCCAACTCTGATTGCTCCTTCTGCTTAAACCCTGAAACCCTTTTACACGTAGTTGTTGGATGTCAAACGTACCTCCCACGATTTACATGGAGACATGATTCTGTTCTGAACTTCATAGCACAAACGCTACAACCTGTAAACAACTTCAATCTTTTCGTCGATCTTCCTGGTTATAAAAGCCCATCAATTGTAACTGGTGACACATTCCGCCCAGACCTACTTCTATCTATCAACTCGGATTGTCTCTATATCCTTGAACTTTCTGTTGGCTATGAGTCTAATCTACAAACAAATGTTGATCGGAAAAGAAGAAGATACGAAGATCTCATTACACAGCAAAAAAAACAATTTAAGTCCGTAAAATTTGTAAATTTGTCAATTAGTTCTTTAGGCGTTTTCTCAAAAGAATGTCATTCCTTTTTAGATATGTTAACTGATCTAGGTCTTGATAAAAGACACCAGTATTTCGCTATCAGGAAAATTATGTCTATCGCGATTAGGACAACATATTATATATTTTGCTGCAGAGATAAGGACTGGTTAAATCCGGAATTACTGAACATTTAAGGATACTCATTATTAATATATAAATATTAAGTAGGTTCAAGTAGTCAATTATAAATTACCTAAATTAGTGAGATTTATAATTGCATATATACGTATATAATTTCAATAAAGTTTCCATTATTATTATTA